GCCTTGAAATCCTGTTCGCGTTCCTCTGTCATCTCCTTAAGTGTTATCAATGCCTCCCTCAGGCGGTCGTTCTCGTGCTGAAGACGGTAGTAGCCAGCTTCTTGTTTTTGCTCCTCTGACATTTCTGTAGTAAAGAGCTCTGCCTCGTCTCGAAGAATATCGAGCTCTAGAGTCTGCTCTTCTAGTCTCTTGCGCAGAGACTCGATTTCCGCCTCCGCCTGGTCCGCCCTCTCCTCCGCCATTTCTTTGTCGACTAGAGCATCCTCTAAGTCGACCTCATGGTCCTGTAGTGACTTGTTGAGGGCTTCTAGTTCCGATTGTAAGGTCTTGAGCTTCTCCTTGTGTTCTTGAATCTCAGTATATTGTGACTGGCATTTGGTCTGCAGGCGCTGTATTAGGCCGCTGAACCTGTCCTTCTCGTCGCGAACTTGCGCGAATTCTCTCAGCCGTTCTTGGTCTTCCGCATGCTGCTTCTCCATATGTCTGATCGTTGTTTGTAAGCTCTCGACATGACCATCCCGGGGTGCTTTCCCAGCGTTACTAGTGACTGAGGATCCCAGACTCGGTCTGGATGTTGAAGGTGCAGGGCGAGATGATTCAGGACGAGATGATTCGGTGCGAGTGGGTTCTGCGCGGGAAGACTCGGGTCTGGAGAATTGTGCGCGGGAGGATTCAGCGGCTGAATTGCTAGATGTGCTAGCAACGCTGGCTTTTCGAACAGGTCCACGCGAAGGTGGCTGTGATGCTGAGGGAGCTGCGACTGACTGTCGCTTGCTCAGTGTGGTTGTTCTTGCAGTAGTGGGCTTTGGAGCAACCACACTGGAAGGCCGAGCCCTGGGAGTGGTGGTTGGGGCTCTTGCTCTTGAAACTGCTCGTGGTGTGGGTGTAGGTGGGGTTGGTGTTGCCTCGGAAATTATAGTGGCTATGCTGGTGTCGCGAATGAAGAGACCGTGGCCAGGAGCGCACGTAAAGTACCGCTCCCCGCGAACTGAGCCATCGTTTTTGCCGTCAGGCGTAGGAAGCTCGATTCCGATAAAAGTGCCTTCTGACACGTGAATAGCCCCTACGTATCTGACGACGCCCTCCTGATGACCCGTAGTCTTGACCGTCTGGCCGACCTTGATATTCAAGGCAGACATGACTCCCGAATGCTAGCCAGGAGCGATGCTGAGAGAGCCGGGTGGAGAAGGTGAGAACTGCGTGGTGGTATGGAGCAGTCTCGACGCGTCGAGAAGCAGCTGGGAGTGGGGAGGAGTGCAGTCGCGGACAACTGACTCAGAAAAAGTTTGGAGCGTGCTGAGCAGAAGAAGCAGATACGCAACAATGCAGAAGTAACGGCTCAAAAGTGGTGCTGTTGTGGAAAGTGGCATTGAGCAGTTGCAGAAAGTGTGGTGTGGAGGAGAGGAGCGATGTGGCAGTATTTAGCTAAGCTCTGGATGATTGCCAAGAGGAACGGTGATGGCTCGCGCTATTGGTGGCGATGGCTCGGACGAACGCCAGTTCGTGGGTGCGACGGACACACCCGGCGCTAGCGCGTTGTAGTGCGCTTCCCACCCACAATCTACGCGTTTTCTGACGTACAATCAGCCCACTCTACAACTGCCAGTCCCAATCCACTCTGGGTGACATCTGTCTGCAATGTGTCTTCGTCTTAGTGCAGGCGATAGTCGTCATGCATTCCGCCACATACGTCGCTCGCCCCAATTCAAAGCTTGAGCTGCTCTTCGCATAACTGCAGGAAATATCATATGGTCTGTAGGGGCGATAGAACCAATAGCCAGACGCAGTTCTTACCCTTACGTAGACATCACACTAACTGTTTACTTGTCCAACCTACCGTTGTCTCGTCAGAAACAGAATTCTCTCGACTGCGTATGTCGTTGTAACGACAAACTGGATACTAGTAAAATCATAGGCTCTTGGCTTTACTCAAATGAATTTATTCTTGTTTTGCTGCAGATCGTGCGATCCAAATAAAAAGCGATGGCATCTCGTTGTGGTTCTCTATTCCATGCACGTTCGTTCAATGCATGGTACACATACACATAACGCCCTTCAGATCCGACACAGCCGCAATTATGAGATTTGCTCCATAACGCTTCCACTATCACTCATCGCGAAGCTTCCAATTCCTTGATCCTTTGCTCGATGTCAGGAACAGCTCTGAGCTGCAGGTCGATATCTTCTTTCTCACTGCCAGTATGTTAGCACAAGTTTTCGCCTCAGACATAGTACAACTATCGGACTAAGGTAGAATGCACTTACTCTTCGAGTATCGCCCTCCTCTCCGCATCGAGCCCTCCAAAATAGAAGCCGCCTTGACCATCAAACTGCAGTATCCTGGTGTGATACTTCCAGAGACTTCTACGGTGGCTGACTGTCATCAGGGTTATACCCAGTCTCTTCGCTTCTTCGTACATGACTCTTTCTACTTCCAGGGTAACGGAGCTTGTGCATTCGTCCAAAATTGCGTACCGAGGCTTGTGGTAAAAGAGTCGCGCCATAGCGACGCGTTGTTGAAGACCGCCAGAAAGCACGTCTTCCCATTGCGCCTCGGCATCAAAGCCACCGGGGCGGTCGATAAGGGATTCGAGGTTCAAGGTCTCGAGTATGGAAAGAATGTCGTTGTCGGTAATGGATTTGGAGTGCATGTCATGTAGCGAGTCTGGGTATATGATCTGTTGACGTAGCGTACCCCGCGAGAGGTATGGTCGTTGTGGGATATAGAAGATGTCTTCGAATGGTGGCTTCCGTACCTTACCACCATATACAGGCCATAGACCTCCAAGGATTCGAAACAGACTACTCTTTCCACATCCGTTTGGTCCTACGATCAGTAGGTGATCGCCGGGTTTTACACTGAAGGAAAGTGCCCGAACGAGTACATCACCATTCGGAGATACTATAGGTACATCGATGAACTCGATATCGGCGCCTTCAGTTACGATACCACGGCCGCGCAAAACGGACGCGTTTTCTTCGATGTCAGCTGAAGAAACAAGCTTCTTCTCGAAATGACCGGCTTGGATATCATCGATTACATCGAGGAGGGTTGATACGCGTGAGGTATAACCAGCGAGTTCGGTGATTTCTTTGTACGAGAACATGACGCGACCAAAGGCGTCACTAGACATGAGGAGCATTCGGCGATTGGTTACGAAGCCTTTGGGAGTCACAGTTGTCAGTAGGAATATCTCGCAACCTGGACAAGGGGCGGTATAGTTTGAGGGTACTCACTCTCCGTCCGATCCCCCATAGTCATGCCACCTGTGCCTGGCACTTTGAAGAACACTGGCACACTGCAAAGCAACAGACCCAGAGCGCCCCAGAAGTATTTGATCACAAAGTCTTCCATGACTCCGTGATAGAATCTCCTCCTCAGTATCCGGTTGACATGCTTGATTAGCGTAAAGTAACCCTTATCCAAAGTATCCTTCTCCGCCTCATGCCCCGCATACAGCGCCACCTCCTCGCTCCAGTCGATTAGCCTGGAATGCTGAAACCTGAATTCGCCTTCTAATCTCGCTTCGTCTGCTACGTATTTGCCGAACGGTGGGGTAAGTGCCCTCATTACGTTGGCCGAGATCTGAACTAGCAAGCTCATGAAGAACAGTCCTTCGCCACCGACGCTCCGCGATAACGAGTAGTTGTAGATTATGATGTCTAGAACGGGTTTGGCGAGATTCGAATAAAGTTCCGCAAGCGAATTGGAGAACTTGGAGACGTCGACAGTGATGAGTTGGTCGGCGTTTGCGATGCGGTCGTCGAGGGCAGAAAGCGTGTAAAAGGTCATCTGAGAGAGGTATTTGGAATGAATGTAATTCGTCAGGCGCGTTCGGTATTGGAGGGAGAGTTTGCACTGGTGGTAGGAGAGCTAGGCTTGTTATTATGTCTTCGGCTCCCGTTGCATGTTGTGCTTTGGCGGCAAGGTGAGAAGATTGACATACCATACTGTTCGTAAACGTCGCTGGGACAGCCACAGCCATCCACCATACCAATCCTAGGAGAAACTCTCTTCCCTTGCCCCTCACGAGCGCACTAACCAATCTTCCATCCAACTCCGCGACGTACAGACTGATCATCGTCCTAAGCACCAAGAAGACGCTATGCCCGATCAAGAGCCTAAACTCCTTGCTCTTCCAACCAGGTATGCATATCTTCAGTAGTCTGAGCAGGTTCTTGAAGAACTCCCTGTTCAGCTCTACCTTCTTCCTACCTGTTGCTTCGCCCTCGCCTGCTGTTGTCTTGTCCGCTGATTTGGAAGCACGCCGTAAAGAAGCGGCTTTCTGTTCGGCGATGGCATTTCGTATACGATTTATGAGGGCGACGAAAAGGGTAAGATACACGGCGCGCGATATGCGTGTTCGGTGTTGGAGGTACAGACGTGTAAGGTCGTTGACAATGGCTTTGGCAGACGCGCTGGTCAGGCGATGGGAAGAGAGAGGTTTTGAAAAGACAGCCATGGCTACCGTAGACGAGGCATTGGTGTTGTGCAAGAGGTTGACGCCGTGCGCAAAGCGTCGTGGCGTGGTCGTTCTTGACGGAAGATCTCAGTAGGTAGTGCTGCGAAACTTTGTACTACGATAATCTGGCGGATGGTCTCCCCCGTTGCGCAACAAACTATTAGGGTGCAGGAAGCCGCGCGCGTCCGGTTGTAAGGTTTGGTGAGATCAGTGTATCGCGGAAGGTAACGCTGTACAAGCGTCACCTGCGACATGTGAACGAATGCCTCGGCTTCCCCACAAATCGCCTAACCATATCGAGACATAACCTGGGGAAAGCTTTCACATGAATGAAAGGAGCGTACATTGGTTTCATATGCTGGGTTAAATTTGCACCTGATCACATGTGTTCAAGTGTTCATTTGATGCTCTTGCAACGCCTATCATTGTTGTAGATTCGTTACAAGAGCGGATTGTAACAATCGTCTCTGCTGTCCCCCATAGCTGATGTATAGAGTCACGACCCGCAACCATTCCCAGAACCACATTAGCCCCAGATCACGACTGAGTATCCTTGAAATCTCCAGTATGTGTCTTCGCTGCCTTTTCTGCTCCATATCCTGGCGCCACCTTGCCCGGTAGACCCTTAACAAACCCACCAATATCTAAGCCCTGCATCTTTTGCTGCGTAACCTGCATCCAACTCTGTTCTTGCTTCTTCTGCACAGCCTGCTCCATCTCCTCTTTTTCCTTCTCTTCATCGCCTTCTCCCTTGCTCCCTTCGTTCTTCTTCCTTTCTTCTTCTTCCTGCTTCTTCTCCTTCACTAAATCAGCTTCGGCACGCTCTACTTCCTCGATGTCGACGTCTTCGAACCCGATCTTCCGAAGGATAGACCCGGTGATGAAGCGGTATTGGAGATGACCGTCCACGAGGTCGCTGACATCAACATTTTGAATTCCGTGTACGCCAACGACGGGCTGCAGACCTGCGACACCAAGCTGCATGGATGAGGTGCGATAGAGGAAGCCGAGGATGTAGTCTGATTTGGAGAAAACATTGACACAGCGACCACTTACTACAGAGCGGATGCGCCGCCAGTCGGCAACGTCAGATGGGCAAGGGGCGCCGACAAGAACCACGTTCTCGATGAGACCAAAAGCTTTCCGCTCTGCCAGTTTCTGGAGACAGGAATAGATGACGCGTGCACCGAGAGAATAACCCACAAGGGTGACCGGCCGTTCGCCTTGTACCTTGTTGATTAATGCTTCAGCAAGAACTTCGCCAGCCTTCTCAGAACGGTATTTCGCTACTGAGAAAGGATTGTCGAGCATAGTGGCAATCTTGAGCAGGCCTAGTGGCCACAATGCAGCCGTCATCGCAGCGAAAACAGTCTGCTCAATAATCTTCTTCTTCGCGTAACCCCAAGCTGCACTGGTCACGAATGTTTCGAGGCTATGTCCAAGCTTGAGAAGCGCCTCAAGCTCCCAGCGAAGTGCGAAGCCTTCTGTTCCCTTGCTGATGTATCTCCATGGCTTTGATACTTCCTCGGGCGCGCGCAACCAACCAGAGACTGCAATTGCGACGCGCAGGCGGCGAGATTCATTGTCTTGATGCCTCGGGTCTTGGGTACGGTGAATAGGTATGAAGGCAAAATCTTCCACTTGTCGGGCGTAGTCGTCCATGGCGCGCCCCGTCATTTTCGCACCGTAAGCGCCAAACAGCCCGCCTACGAGGACAGAAGAACCCGCCAGAGTACCTAGATACCCTGCGGCTGCTGTAGCACCTAGACCAATGCCTCCCATCACACTTCCAACACCTGCCGCAAGAAGTGGTGCAGCCAGCCCGCCAGTTACACCGATCAAGGCAGCACCAGCAACACCGGCGAGGCCGACTTTCCATTTTCGAGCGGCTTGTGATTTTTCAGCAGCTTGCTTGGTTTCTTCGTCAGCATTTAGTTGTTGAGATGCCGCTTCTAGAAGACCTTGGGCGACTGTCTCCTCATCTTTCTTCAGAACGGCTCTACTCAACCTGAGAGAACTGGTAAGGTAGAGAATCAGGACACGAGAATGTGCTGAGTAGTGCTCCAAACTTAGGAGTATGAGTACTAGCGAATGCAATATGAGGGCGCGTTTGCTCTCCTCCAAGTGAGTGAGGGCGTTGGATACAGGGGGGTAGAGATCCTTGAACATCTTGTCTTCGTCCTCGTCCTTCTCGTCAAGCTTCCTGATGCTCTTGAGACCAGTTTCCGATTTTTTTGCAATTTGCTTTACCTCCTTGCCTTCGACCTGACGTGTCTGTTCTTTGGCTTTTTCTTTCGAATTGAGTACTTCGCCGATTCTGCTGATGACGTTGCCTCGCCACCCATCGAAGTACTTGAGCATTTCCTTTTTCAGTTCTTGCACTTCAGGTTGCGCGAGCTCTTTTCTTGCATCTTCTTCGCGTGCTTCCCTCTCTTTCTTGATCTTGTCTTCTTTGGCAACATCGACATCGTCGAGATTGGAGGGTGCGTCTCGCAATACCTCTTCCTCTGATCTGGCAGTGTTTGGATCGATTGCGAATTCTTCAGCGGTGAAGGTGTCGACCAAGGACTGCCGCATGGATGCCGTAATAGTTGCTATCAAGAACGTCAAATCCGCGCATTGGTCTGCATCGAGGAGTGTAGTGAGTGACGTCTCATCCTTGTCCTCCGACTTGGAATGGCCCAAGGAAGTCAACTTGGAAGCCCAACTCGACATGATAGTTGACAGTTGGCTGAAGAAGGGGTTGAAGTTTGTGTAGTGATTGCGCAGCGGAGATGTGCATAACAGGGTGAGATGTTGCTGCTTGGATATGACGTATAGTGGGGCAGGGGCTACAAATAGTCCAATGTCATCCAAACGTCGAAGATCACCCGCACTTCCGAGGAGTAGTGTGAACGTGGGTGTCTAGGTATTTGGACTAATCAACATATTGTCAAGTATCTTTTTAGGACGTGACAGGCTTCATCTTATGGAAAAGGTCCCGGCATCTGTGCGCAGCAATGACTTGATCTTAGTACATACTCGCGCAAAGCTCGACCGGTTTTATTTCTTTAACCAGACTATCACTTCAAGAACCTACTCTACTAGTAGGTATTGGCGGTGCACCCCTTCCCCCCACTGGAAAGTTCCTTGCACTCAGAAAGACCCCCTTGACAGCCCTAATGTCGTTCTTCAGCACCTCCATTTGATCATTGTGTCCACTACCGCCTTGACCAGACCAAGTGAAGGTAGATCCATAGCGGCCCATGCTGGGATAGTATTGGTTCTGGTAGTCCATTTCAGTCAGATATGTGGTCAAATCTGACACCTTTGTCCTCAGCGCATCTCGCGATTTGCCGTCGTTGGTGCGGTTCGTTTCCAGCTCTTGCAGATGTGATTTTATAATCTTGAGGCGATTCTCTTGCGCTGTCACGGTAGGGTGGGGATCTGCAGCGGAAGTAGAGGGTCGACGGGAGAGGTTGGGTGTGGTTTGGGTGCCATAGTCGCGATGGTAAAGCTCAGTAGGATCGGAGTCGGCTTCTGAGACATCGTCTGCAGCGTCTGCGATTGCCTTGACTTTGCTAGCAGGATCAACGGACACTGCCTTGGCTAGTCTCGAGTTCAACTCCTTCAGCTGTTCTTGAGTGTGTGATGCAAAATCTTGTCTTGATTCAGCAAGGCTGTGTGTCATGGGCGCTATGATGTACTTTGACAGTCCATATATGCTTGCCATGATGCCTCCTGTGACGTATGCGGTTGTCGCAAGGCGCTGGGTGGTGATGAGAGGCGGTGGCTTTTCGGTATTCGCAAGGAATTCTGGATAGGTAACGATTGGGGGTATCTCGCGTGGTGGAGGCGGCGGCGGCTACGAATGTCAGCATCGTTGCTCTGCGGCCAGGGGGGTTGTGTACTCACTGCTGACCACGCCCGCTGCCCGACTTCCTCGACATGTGTGTGAGTGTCCTCCTGTGGCTCTGTGCCTAGCAACGTCTCAATGTCCTCTGTGCTCACGCCCTTGGACTGCAAGAATGCGACCTTCCTCTCTCGCGGCGCATCGCGGATTGTGGCATCTTCAAGGAAGCGCGATGCTTGTTCTAGCAGCTCTGAGCTTTGAGACGGCTGCTCTCCCCCATCTTCTCCTTCAACGTCGTCTTCGGTCGGTGTTGGCGCTTCGACGGCGTCTTGCGCGCGTGCTTCTTCGGGCTCTGGGGACGCTGCGGCGTTATCGGCAGATGCGCGTTGCCAGTCGGGGATTGCCGGCTTATTGGACATTATGCGTGGAACCAACAGTCGTTTTCAAAGTGAAGTCGAGTAGACAGCGGATGCAAATGACGCGAAATGGACGTAGGCGCGCTTCCGACCGCGGTGATGGATTGCTCGGTCGGGAAACAATGGCTGGACCGAGGCAAGAGCCCCAGATCCGGCCTTTCCTCTTTAGTCAAGCATTCGAGCATCAATCAGCCGTGACAAGCCTCAGCGCTGTGGACTGGTTCGATTCTTTTGAACGCTCTGGTCATCTCTTAAGATGCTACTCTACATTCCGAGTTTAGAATTGTGTCTCAGTGCTTCCCTCGCCCATGCTCTTGCTGCCTGAGCTGCCGCTCTGTATCGCCCCCAAGATGCCATCAATGTAGCCTGCGCCGGACCACTTCTGGTGCGTGAGCACATCACAACCCAACTCCTTCTCTCTCGCTTGCACCAACTTGACATAAGCAAGCATACCCTCGTCCTTGAACGCCCGACTTAGCTCGCATGTAATTGTAGCCGTAGAGTGTACACCAGCAAGTGAAATGAGCTGGAATACGAATCCATGTTTCGCCAGATCCCAGACAAAAGACTTGAGCGCTTCTTCGGAGAAACCTTGGCCCATCCAGTTGAAGCTGGGAGATAGATTGTACACAAATTTCTTTCCCGGGTGAACGGCACGGATCTCACCTGCGAACCTTGCTGCTTCCTTGACGTTTGGATCACCCGTTTCGACCCAGAGGAGATCAGCGTATGGAGCGTATTCCTTGCCGCGTTTTGTTGCTGCAGCTACGCCAGCTTTGTAGTGGTAGAAACCTTCTCGTGTACGGGGAATGTCCCAATTGAAGTAAACAGGTGTTTTGGTGTATTTCTCCGCAACGCTTCGGCGCTTCAGAAGAGAGTAGTTGGGGTTCTGCTTGGCCTCATCGAGGTATGAGTCGATGGTTGATTGAGATGCACTCTCCTTCTCAAGGTGCTGGACCACGGCCTCGTCAAAGGTTACGAGCTTGTGCTTCTTGACCCATGCCGCTTCGTATTGGTCGATCTCCTTGCCGGGTGCGCCAGCTGCTTCCATATTCTGTAGCGTCTCGGCCAGCGGTTCACTATCTTCTGTGACACCCTTGATGAACTCATGATCCCGCACATCGACGGCGCTGGAGATGAGCTTGCCACTCTCTGAATCAGTGCGCGCAATGACAAGGTTCTCGCAGCCCATCATATCCCACTGGAACCGTGCGGCTACCAGGCGGTTGATGTGGTCACCAACTGGCACGAGGACTTTACCTGCAAGATGTCCGCACTTCTTGCCGCCGTGAAGTTGATCTTCGAAGTGAACACCTGCGGCTCCATTCTCGGCGAAGAGCTTCGCTAACTTGATGACGGCAGAAAGGCCCCCGTGGCTGTGACAAGTCAGTTCTCTAGCCAGACATCAAGAGCAATCTTTACGTACCCAGTATCGCCATCAGCAATGATTGGCCGCATGTAGTCTAGGTAAGGCGTCTTTGCTCGTTCTTCTGCACTCATCTTCCTCCTAGCATCCCAGTTCTTGCGGTCGTGTAGCTGCTGAGCCTTGAACAGGCGCTGCACTTGGTTTGGTACGGTGTTGTAAGGGTAGTCGCCAAAGTCGGCCGAGACTTCATTCGTCGTGGTCAGGACTGAAGAGCAAGCCCATCCAGAGACATAGAGGACTTCTTGGTTGGCAGCTTGTTGGGACATTTGAATGGGGTCAATTGCGCCCACTGGATATTGAAACCATGTAATCAGCCATTATACTATCTATACAGACTAGGATAGACGCACTGGTGTGTACTGGCTCGCCCTTGGCCGCCCTCTCCTCCAGAAGGTTGAACAGTTTCCGCGCCATCAGTGAACTGGGATATGACTGTTGAAGCGCCCCCCGCTTGCTCACAACATCTTCGGCAGAGTATGGGCGCTTGATACCTTTGTACCGTGGTGACGCCCACCAGTCCTTTACGGCTTGTACCTGTTCCTCGAAGAGCGCATCTTCTGCCTGACCCGCTTTCGAAGCTTCAGGCAGCAGTTGGAAGGAATCACCAGGGAGTGCTGTCGATACTGGAGGGTTAACACTCTCGAGTGTCGAGTTTGACATGCGATACGCGGTGGTAGAGAGGGAGCGTAGGAGTTGCGGTGTTCGGCTCGTGACTCTTGACGATCGACTCTGGCGCGCGACTGAGCGCGATATTGTTCGGAACATTTTAGGCGTATGTGAACTGGGGAGACTGCGGTCAGCAGAGGCTCGCTCTGTATCTTAGTAGGATGGCGGCAAGAGTTAGTCAACAGTTGTTGACGGAAAAATATCCGCAAGTCGGAGAGAACTCGGAGATAATGTTTGCCACAGGCGCCTTTTTGTGTTTACGTCCAATTGTCTCTTTTGCTTGCAATTAGCATAGTCCGTGGCCGTGTTGCGTGAAAAAGTGAGTTCCGCGTCATGTTTGCGGCAACGCTTCTCCAGGGTTCCCCATCACCGACGTCACTACCGAGGTATGTAGCCCTTGTCTAGCCGCGTCCAACTGCCCCTCGGTCCTCGTTCAATGTTGTACTCGCATCAACGGACCATGCGTGCCTGGTGGATTGAGGTGCATTGCCGAAAGTTGCCGTCAACATTTCTTTGCTTGTTACTCGCGAAGTTTGCAACGCCATTGTCTTGAACTACTTGTTGTGTTCTACGTCCTATGTGTTGACGAGTGCAACTACTATCCCCGCATCTACCCCACGTAAACCGAGCTATGGCATTGAGCGCACGATCAGCTTCCAGAGCTCTACGGGCTGCCAAGGTAAGCTCAGAGAACAATGTGTGATTGTGTATAATACACAAACAACTAACAATTGCTCAACAGGCGCGTCCTTTTGTGTCCAGTATGCAATCAGATCGCCCAGTCTAAATGTCATGTTCCTAACGCGTGGTTCGTTGCAGTACAAGCCTGTAGCTACTCTTCCTCCTCAGAGCCGGATCTCAAGGAGACGTTCAAGAAGGTTCTGCCTGCAAAGCGCGAACTTCTGAAGAAGGTCAAGGCGCATGCCGACAAGAAGCTTGGAGATGTCAAGGTCGAGAATGCGCTAGGTGGCATGAGGTATGATATCCAAACACAATAACGCAAGCATGCTCTGACGAGATTGAAGAGGTCTCAAGGCCATGGTCTGGGAAGGATCAGTGCTCGATGCGAACGAGGGCATCCGATTCCACGGCAAAACCATCAAGGACTGTCAAAAGGTGCTACCCAAGGGCACTTCCGGCACTGAGATGCTTCCCGAGGCAATGTTCTGGCTGTTACTCACAGGCGAAGTACCCTCGGTCTCGCAAACTCGCGCGTTGTCCCGAGAGCTCGCTGAAAAGGGTAGCATTCCCAAGTTCGTTGAAAAGATGCTCGACGACTTCCCCAAAGATCTCCACCCGATGACACAGTTCGCCTGCGCTGTATCGGCACTCAACTACGAGTCCAAGTTCGCAAAAGCCTACGAGAAGGGTATTAACAAGGCCGACTACTGGGAGCCTACCTTCGATGACTGCATCAGCCTCCTCGCGAAACTACCTACCATTGCTGCAAAGATCTACCAGAACGCATACCGTGGCGGAGGCGCCCTCCCCAACGAGATCGATCTGAACCAAGATTGGTCATACAACTTTGCTGCCATGCTGGGCAAGCCAGGCAAGGAGAACGAGGGTTTCCAAGACCTCCTCAGGTTGTACCTTGCTCTGCACGGTGACCACGAGGGTGGTAACGTCTCCGCGCACACAACGCATTTGGTCGGGTCTGCGCTCAGTGATCCGTTCTTGAGCTACAGTGCTGGTCTCCAAGGTCTTGCAGGACCCTTGCATGGCCTGGCTGCGCAAGAGGTGTTGCGATTTATCCTCGACATGCAAAAGGTCGTCGGCGAGAAGTTCACCGAGAAGGACGTCAATGAGTACCTCTGGAGCGTACTCAAGTCTGGACGTGTTATTCCTGGTTACGGCCACGCTGTGCTTAGGAAGCCTGACCCGCGATTCGAAGCTCTCATGGACTTTGCAAATGCCCGACCCGAGATTGCAGCAAACCCTGTATACCAGCTGGTCAAGAAGAACTCTGAGGTTGCACCGGATGTACTCAAGGAGCACGGAAAGGTAAGATATGGCATGCCCAGCACCCCGAGCCACTGCTGACACACTGTAGACCAAGAACCCCTTCCCCAACGTCGACTCGTCATCTGGCGTCCTCTTCCACCACTACGGCTTCCAGGAGACGCTTTACTACACTGCGACATTCGGTGTCAGCCGTGGTCTGGGCCCGCTCGCACAGCTGATCTGGGACAGGGCGTTGGGTCTGCCTATCGAGCGTCCAAAGTCCATCAATCTCCAGGGTATACTAGACCAGGTTGGCGCGTAAGCGTAGGTGTCGTAGATGGACGACGGGGAGGTTCACGAAGACAATGAACAATTTCGCATCAAATTAACCAACATATCATGAGATACAGCCAGAAATTCAGACATGCTTTGCAAACAAATTGAGAGTGGTTTGGTGAGGATCCACTGTTGCGCAAGATTAGAAGATCCGTGTGAACGCAAGCGCGGCGGGAGCTAGATCGACGCCTAGCCAGGTACGAGACGCCATCGCGGCTGAAGTAAGCCCGATGAAACCTCCATCTCCAACTACGACTCCGACTGTGTTTGCTGTGCCTCTTGTCCTACAGACACGTTGCTGTCCTCCTTGAACGTTGTATAACAATTACCTGTGATTCTCGACTCGCTGCCTGTCGGAGAACAGCCGCGCTTCAATGCTAGTCTTAGGATAAGTAGAGCTTCACGCTCGCGCCGCCACAGATAGCCGCGCCGATCGAGCCGTATACTGCATCATCCATACCCGCCTCCTTCCCTGCTTTTGAAGCAGACTCGCGACCACCATGCCGCCTTATGAAGCCCACGAGATGCGTCGTGGCAAGTACGCGAGAATCGATGACCCTGTCGACGATGTCGAAACCCCGACGCGCTTCTCCTCCGAATCCACCGGCACCCTAGAAGATCTCGAAGAGCACGACCCACTTGCGTTCGATAGCAAGATCAGGCGCAAAAAGAGCGCCGGAGATCTCAAGGTCCGGAAAGCGTCGTATAGAGACAATGAGTCTGCGGCGCCGTTCCCTACACAGCAAAGGAAGTCGCGATGTGCACCGGGCCGCTGCTGCTGCTGGCTTCTGGTGTTTATCGCCGCCACCGTCCTGATACTTGCGTCGGGAGGCATATGGGCATACAAGGTCTCGGTGCCCGAAGATGGATTGAGTCCACCGTGGTATCCTTCGCCAAAGGGCGGCACCGATAAGGCATGGGCGGATAGCTACAAGAGGGCTGCGGAACTGGTAAAGCAGATGACACTGCCTGAAAAGGTCAACATCACAACGGGAACAGGCTGGAGCATGGACCTCTGTGTCGGCCAGACTGGGCGCGTAGACCGGCTGAAATTTCCCAGCCTGTGTCTTCAGGTACGTACGGTTGACATGTGGCTAGGACTATACTAACATGCTCAGGACGGCCCATTAGGTATTCGATTCGCCGACAATATCACCGCGTTTCCTGCCGGTATCACTACCGGCGCAACATGGTCCAAAGAACTCATGTACCTACGTGGAAAGGCACACGGCAAAGAGGCACGACTCAAGGGCGTCAACGTTCTGCTAGGTCCCGCTATGGGCCCTCTCGGAAGAATGCCAGCTGGTGGCCGTAACTGGGAAGGATTCGGATCGGATCCAGTTCTACAAGGTATCGCAGCCGCGCAGACCATCAAGGGCATACAAGATGAGGGGGTCATGGCTACCGCGAAACATTATGTCGGCAATGAACAAGAGCATTTCCGGCAGGCATGGGAGTGGGGCCTTCCAAACGCTATCTCGAGCAACATCGATGACCGCACATTGCACGAGATCTACGCATGGCCTTTTGCCGATTCCGTCAAAGCTGGAGTGACCAGTGTCATGTGTTCGTATAACCAGGTCAATTCCAGTTACGCTTGTCAAAACTCCAAGTTGCTCAACGGAGTCTTGAAGGATGAGCTCGGCTTCCAGGGCTTCATCCAAAGTGACTGGTTGGCACAACGTTCTGGTGTGGCTAGTGCTCTTGCGGGCTTGGACATGACAATGCCAGGAGATGGCTTGCGATGGGCCAAGGGCAATAGTCTATGGGGTCCTGAGCTCACGCGGGCAGTTCTCAACGGCAGCGTGCCAATCGATCGCGTCAACGACATGGTTACTCGTATCGTGGCATCATGGTATCAAGTTGGACAGGACAAGTGGGACAACGATGGACCAAACTTCTCTTCGTGGACCAACGACGAGGTTGGCAAGCTTCACGAGGGCAGCCCATCGAACCATGAGATGGGTGTGGTAAATCAGTACGTCAACGCGCAAGGAGAAGGGAAAGAGGCGCACAGCCACCTAGTACGTCGCATCGCGGCCGAAGGCACTGTCTTGGTGAAGAACGAGGGCAAGACGCTACCCCTGGACCGCAAGGGTTGGAAGACTGGCGGCAAGGCTAAGACAAAGTTCCGCGTCGGTGTCTTCGGTGAAGATGCACGTCTCCCTCATGAAGGAATCAATCACTGCTCTGATCAAAGTTGCGACGAAGGAACACTAGCATCCGGGTGGGGATCTGGCGCCGTGAACTTCTCCTATCTAGTTGAGCCCATGTCGGCCATTCGGGACGCTTTCGACAACGAGACTGTATACGTCACTGACTGGCTGGAGAACAAGCTTCCTAGCCAGAAGGAGATCCTCGTAGACCAGGATCTCTGTATCGTCTTCGCCAACTCTGACGCTGGTGAGGGCTACGAGCATTACGGAAGCATACGTGGTGACAGGAACGACCTCAATCTGCAAAAGGGTGGCGACAAGCTGATCCAAGACGTTGCTAAAGATTGTGGAGAAGGCATGGGCGATGTCGTTGTTGTCATTCACACTGTTGGACCTGTCATTCTCGAGAACTTCATCGACATCATGAATGTCAGGGCCGTCATTATCGCCAATTTGCCTGGCACCGAGTCCGGCAACGCCATTGTAGACATTCTCTTTGGCGATGTCAACCCGTCTGGCCGTTTACCCTATACTATTGCCAAGAAGGACGACGAATATGGTCCAGGCAGCAAGATTAAGTATCTTCCCAGTCCATCCGATGGTCTGGCGCCTCAACAGAACTTCTCAGAGGGTCTCTACATCGACTACCGTCACTTTGACAAACAGAACATCACTCCACGATTCGAGTTCGGCTATGGTCTTTCGTACACAGATTTCAAGCTGTCTTCTCTATTGATCGAAGAGAAGGGCGCTAAAACACCCTTTCCCAAACCCCGACCTGATGGCCTGGTACCGCCCAGTTACTCCACGGAATTACCGGATTCTAAGTCCGCGCTATTTCCTGAAGGCTTCAACCAGGTAGAGCGATACATCTACCCATGGCTCGACTCTACGAAGGACATCAAGAAATCCGAACCCATGAACCCCGCCCCACCATCTCCCCTCAGCGAAGCAGGCGGTGGCCCAGGCGGCAACCCCGATCTCTATACTACGCTATTGACCGTATCAGCGTCACTAGAAAATGTGGGACCAGTGGATGGCTCGTCAGTAGTCCAACTCTACATTGCGTTCCCACAAGACTACAAGGATCATGAGACGGGCGAGCCTATTGACTTCCCCATCCGTGTGCTGCGAGGGTTTGAGAAGATACATCTAGAGAAGAACACAGGAAAGCTTGTGCAGTTTGAGGTGACAAGAAGAGATCTGAGTTTTTGGGATATAAAGAGGCAGAACTGGGTGTTGCCTAATGGCGAGTTCGGTATTGGTGTAGGATTCTCGAGCAGAGACTTACCGTTGGAGGGCAAGTGGTAACGCGGCGTTACTTGCATAGAATTGTGACTGGTTTGGTGCTGGAGTTTCATTTGTGTTATTTGTCGATATCCCATACATACATCATATTGCTAAATATGATCTTACTACCATCCACACTGCGATGCTTCTCGATTGTGCAACTTTGCTTTCTTTGTGATACTCACAACTCACTCTTTCCTCTGCCATCCTGTTCTTCAATCGGTCTCCGGCCTCTAGCAAACAAGATTGTGCGCCACAGTTTCTTGCCAGCGAATTCCATGTAGTTCCTCTCCTTCATCGTTTTGACATCAATATCCACAAACCCAGCCTCGGTAAAAAATTGTTTCACACCTTGAATAGTGAAGTGCGGGACTACGACAGAAGCTTCCATCTTTCTGCGGAATTCAGGATCGCTGTCGCCGACGTCGTGCTTTTGTTCAGCATTATGATGGCGTTGATGCCCGTGATGGTGGTGATCGTGCGAATTGGAGGCCTTTTTGTCGCCGGGACCGTGATGATGCCCATGTCCTCCATGATCATGACCATGCTTGTGATTGTGTAGAGCATGATTGCCCTCGCTCCCTTCGATCGGTTCCCCGTCCTCGCCAGCCAATAAATCTCCTCCCTCTAAGAAATCGTTGATGACCAACACACCACCTGGCCTCAGCCTGTCCTTCAACTGACTAGCGGCAAACACAACATCCTCGAAATGGTGGAACCCAAATCCAACAGTCGCAAGATCAAAATTCCAGAACTCCTGTCCCGACAGTGATTGTGGCTGAGGGTCGGACTTGACAAACAAATCACCAACCACGGCGCTGACAACGTCTTCTGGAAGACCGGCATCGCGAGCACGAGTGTTGTATGTAGACACCATTTTGGGTGAGATATCGATACCCTGGGTCTTGGTAACGTAGGGTCCGAAGACACGTGTCATCAGCCCAGTGCCGCATGCATAGTCCAGAAGACGAACTTGAGTGGCATCTGTACTGAACCCTGTGTTGGCAAAGGGGATGCCGACCCAAGATAGATCGGAGCGAAGACTATCTGCGACTCGGTCGTTGACGACATTGAACCAAGGCTTGCTGTCGTAGGAGTCCGATATGGCACTGTGGAATGTTCAGTATACATGTGTGTGGTAATTCACAGAATGATGTATCGTACTCGAAATACCGACGGTTTGCCTCTGCGTAGCTCATCTTGAATGGTACGCTGTTCTCTGTAAGAGTGAGAAGTCTGTTTTATGGTTGTGATGCCGCTGATGCAGTGTTATTAAATCTATAGAATATTCTGGAATTGAAGAGAAACAAGCAATTGAGGTTTGGGGGACGATCAGACTGTCCTTTTATGGATTGAAGAAGGTTGCGAGGGTATATTCAATGTCGCCGGTCTGCATCGGAGACATATGCACGCTAAGCCTATATTGGCCGAGCGTCACAACGTGTATCAAGAACCACGCGATATACGAAAGGATCTGTTTGATACGGCAATAAAGGGAGCTAAGAAGTCCCCGTTCAGATTCGTCAAAGCATATGTGGTTTCAGTTGGTCTCCTCCGAATATCGCCCAATTTGCACCTAAGATGTGGACACAGCTACCGGAGACATTGTGATATGGCTCCACAAGGTACAAAGAAGCCTCCGTAGACTGCGACCTTCGAGTCACCGTCATGACCGATGGTGGATGAGTCATTACGACTAATGCTTGAGGCTATCGTGAAAAAGTAGCGATTCTTACTAGCCTTCCTGGCGTGCTTGGTTACCACCTCTTATCGAAACGATCTTGTGTCGTCGCGCCTATATAGTTCGTGTCGTACGGTATCAAGAGAACATCTCTATCATATTGCCCACATCTGCTTCCTCCGATACATCAACATTGCCCCCAGAGTTCTGATTCTGCAAAGCTTGTTGCCGCGCAAGGCCTTCTTCTCTCTTGCGCCGCTTCCTGACCTCTGCATCCTCCCAATCAGCCTTGGTCCCGTTCAAAAGCCTCGGTCCGTAGGTCTGCAAAAGGGCCTGGCGAAACCGACTTATACGATCAAGGTTGATCTTGAAGCGCTCGTTGGCAATCTTGGTCAACGTTCGCAGATACTGTTGGTCTACCAGGGCAACGTTACTTCCATCATCATCTTGATAGCCAATGATGGAGTCGAATGAATATCCAGCTGACCGGACTGCTACCATAGGATTTGCATCCCCCGTGTTTGGTGACCCTAGACTCACGGCCCCGCTCTCACGAAATCCCGCAGTCAAGGCAGCAGTGAGGACTTTTTGGGCATGGCCCATTGATGCGCTCAAGATATGGAGTATCTGTACCTCGTCAGAGTCTGCCGAAGATTTGCAAGAACCAAAATTACCATAGGTTCAAACTTGAGATGAATGTATCTGCAAGAAACACTAGGTGTTCTCTCCTCAGTCTCGTTTTTCTGCAAGCCAAACTCTGACATGAGATCATGATTTGCTTCGACACATTCAACTGGCGTATGCGAAATGAACAGCCATGCACCCCCACCACCTTTGCCTCCTGGACCAGCACGTGATTCTTCCCCTTGAGCCGAGTCTGATGCTTCGGCATCTGCTTTACGTCCTTCTAAAAACACACTAATGCGCCCCGAGCAACTGCTTGTTGTGACGAGACCTTGGAGTTTATTGATCTCGCTGATTAGATCTCGGATAGGCGCATCAATGGAGCCTTTTGGGGACAGATCGTGGTACTCGCCATCTGGAGCATCGAGTTGTTCCAGGATCTTTTGCTTGCGTACTTCGAAGCGAGTCGGCATGTCTGTCGTGCACTGTGGCTGTGTGGGAAACCCGTGACAACGCGCCGTATTTTCGCGTTCGAGTGCGTCATCCATGGTCTGTGCTCACATTCCCTTCCAAGCATCCACGTAGACGTCTGCAGTTATAACCAGTCATACCCCTTGTCGGCTCCGCAAACCAACTAAATCGACATCATGCCACGCAAAGCTACCAAAAGTACTAGTGCGCCGGCTTCCAGGAGTTCCTCCAAACGTCCCGCACCGGAGGTTCCAGCGAGGCAGTCTAAAAGAGCACGGGCAGCGATTCGGAAATCGTACGTCGAGCCTGAGAGCGACACGGATAATGAGGATAGACCAAGGAAAGTTCAACTACCCAACGGTGACTATGACGATGATGAAGGGGTAGCCTCCGACTACGAGGAGCACAGCGACAAGGATCCATCGTCGGAATCTGAGCCCGATGAAACTGCCACTGACGATGACATCGAGAGCAAGCGGCCAATTCCGAGAGGGCGCACCACCAAGAACCTCCCTATACACAAAAAGGCCGCCGATAAGAAAGAGCTTTGGAGACCGGGAGCAAAATTGGCACCAGGAACGCAACTGGTCATCAAGAAGCCAAAGGCCCGAGATGCAGGCGACACGCCATATTTGGATCACACAATCCATCCAAACACAATGTTGTTCCTCAAGGACTTAGCAGCTAATAACGACCGTCAATGGTTGAAGCGTATGCAACCCTTCATAACGCTTACTTCACTAGACCGCCCGCTAAAGGTTACAGTCCACGACCCTGATTTTAGAGTTTCATTTCAAGATTTCACAACATTCGCCGAGAAGGTATCAGATAAGATTATTGAAGCAGACGAGACCATTCCCGAACTACCGGTCAAAGACGTGGTGGGTATTGACGATTTAGCTATCGTGAGAGACATCACTAACGCGTACAGATCTACCGTATCTACAGAGGTGAGCTTGAAGCTTGATTGTATCGAACCACGCTTACTACTCAAGACATTCGATTCTCAAAAGACCCCACCCCGTACAAGGTGAGAAAGCATCTCAAGTTTTATTGGAAAAGGCAGAGCAATGCGTTCAAAGTCATATCTCGACATGCACAGACAGATCTTGTTGGCCATCTAGCTGACTCTAACCCAATATCATCTGCGCCTCGAAAGATGATTTTGTCCTTATGCTTGGTCATGGCAAGGTGCAAGCAGACTGACCTAATCTAGACTTACTTCTCTGCGGCTTGGTCGAGGACTGTGAGTTATCTTTGTGCAGCAGTCAATCCGAGCCACAGACTGACATTGGACACAAATGCAAGGGACGAAAAGGTCCTTACGCGCACTACTACGTTCAGGTGCAACCCAAAGGCGGGAGCTTTGTAGGTATGTTTGATTCTCTTCTTCTCTTGTATGTGTGCGATTGCTATAGCCACGAGCTGTCCTGAAACCCCAACCGAGGCGAAGCGCAACCCCGTGGCCGCCGTGGTTCTTCTTTCGATCGAATGTGCATAATGTATGCATGTATACCCAATGGTTGCCGTCGCCCATGAGATCAAGGACGGGCCGAGGCCTGGCGGCTTTTGTCCTCGTGTGACCGAGCCTTGCACTCCATGCTGTATTTTGCCGTAGCACGACCGCCATTTCACACATGACAAGGTACCGTCATTAGTGCGATTGGCAACCCTGGCCAGTACTGAAGAGCATGATCATGCCTGGGACATGAGTGCTCAACATACCCCGCTGTTGGTCTTGTGTTCGCATCCGCGGTCGGACAGCGTAGCGTAGCATCTTGAGTCCCGATACCATACTGTGCGATATCCGTTGGAAGATGCGTCGGATCGCTTCGAAGTTCGGTCGTGTTCGGTACTGTGTCGTCGGGACGGTGCTCCTGTCTAATGCATGCCAATGCCTTGTCATCTTGCCTACGCAAGTAGCAACACATTCAATGGCGCGATAGTATTTCTAGCACTGTCTTACCGCTATTGTTATCATACTCGCACAGGCATACGCTGACTTTGGGAGGTGGTGGCTTCTGGCAGCCGGACGCGACGACCCTCGCCAAACTTCGACGCGATATCGACCGTAAACCGCACAAGTTCAAGGCGGTTCTGACTGACGCCGGCATTCGGGAGGCATTCCTCGGTGGCGTGAAAGAGGACGAGAAGAAGGCTGTCAAAGCTTTTACGAGTCTGTCAATGAATCAGTCAAATGCTCTGAAGCGCAATCCAAAGGCGAGTCCCCTCTGCTTTACCTTTCCTTGTATAAGACTGTCTTATCAGACGTCGGTCACCAAGCAGGAAGACGCGTCTCAATTGCCAATTTCCTGCAAGGGCAGAGTAATTTCTGGATGATTTTGCGACAGCTATGGCGGGATCGGGTGTCCTCCGCAGCCTGGCACAGATCAACTCCAAAACTAGCCCGGGAACTTCCCGCCTACAAGGATGCACTGCTGTGAAACTCTTCCGCTACATTATCTTGCGAACGGCACACGACAACGATGACGTGCAACTAAACTTCGGTCTCATACTGGACAGTTTTGCGTTACAACTGTGTGCCGTCCGGCAAAATAGAGTTTCAAATCGCCCCGCACTCAACAATTCAAGCTGAATTCGAGATGTCATAGCTAGCACCCTTTCAACGGGCGGGGTTTTCTGCTGGTAGCAGCGTCACTGCCAAGTTGCGGAGTTTATTACGAACAACCTTCAGTCTCACTGTAACTGCTCAAGTTTGCTGACAGCTCTCAGGGATATGACCATGATCACAAAGATATTGAACTTCTGCGGCTCCGCAATTTTACCATGGGGCGAAAGCTTACAGACGACGAAATTGTCGGTGTCGGAGGTTTGGAGCGTGTGGGTGAGCTCGTAGCCAATATGGTGCCCTTTGTAAGTCTAGCGATTCGTACTCTTGACATTGATGGCATAAAACGTTCATTGAACAGCCGAAGTTAAAAGCGGCGGCAACTTGTTAGGGTTGTGCCTGTACATTGCAAGCTATGGGGTGACTATAATGCTGGCCAGTAGTGTGTTGGCATTGCGGTCACCCGCCCATTATGGAATTGTCCAGGTGTGGAGAGAGGCCTGAGCAATCTTGCTGAGGCGTTGCACACGAAGCCGCTAACGACTGTGGCAGATCACCTATCTTAACAGCATCGCGATGCCCGACGATGACACGTCAGACTCGAGCGACGGCGATGGAAGCGATGCCGAGCCTGACAATGACAGCGGCGCTGCAGAGGATGACGAGGCTTGATGAAGGTAATTTCAACAACGCATGTTCGAGGCGCGGTTCTTCCAGCCGAAGTCATTTGGATGCACACATTGGTGGAGCGTGGAGGAGTGGGCCACACAAGCGCGAAGCCCGCCAATAGACGCCTGTGTAACCCTGCGGCAGTGGCGCTGACTGGTTGGTCCCAACTCATCTTGCATTAGTTTTACGCCCGTTCAAACTGCTTGCGGGACACTGCGGCGCTAGAAGGTCACGTTACTTAGTGGGCTGAGTAGGACCGAGACATGCGAGACTAAAGTTTAGCAGATCGCAATAGGAAAAGCGTCTCTACGACCCTGGTCCCAGTTCTCTCGCTCAAACGCGGGCCTGCCGTCTTTCCTTAGCGGCTTCTGCTTGGTTCCAGCGAGCCAGGGGAGGCAGCGCACGGGGCTCACTTTTCACTCGTCTTCGATGATGACCCGGTGTGCATGGCTGACCGCATCGACGCCAAAGTCTCATCGATGACAGTGCAGAAGCGAGACGTATAGCAATCGCTTTGTATAATCACCCGATCACCTGCCCTCTCCATAGTATGCTCTTGGACACTGTGACAAGCTGCACACGTTGCGTTAGGCTTTAGACGGCCACGGCCCGAGGCGCACTCGTTGTCCTGGGATGCAAGGTTTCCGCCCTAACGCGTCTGATCATGGCCTGCTCCATTTCGTGACGACGGCTTCAGTGAGTCTTTATCGGCGCCTTGAGTCGCTGGCGGTTAGTTGCTGCATCGCTCTGCGTCATACACGCACAAGAAGCGGAAGGTCGAGCGGCTTATACTGTTCGGTCACACTCGACATGGTGTAAGCATGACGCCAGCAGCTCCAACACGAAACCTTGACAACTGCAATACCAAGTGCGTCGAGTATATCGCAGGTCTGCATGCTTCATGTCAACCAAGCTGCGAGGCCTTTTGATGCTTTAGCACGTCATCAAAAGGCGGTGTGTTTGTAGGGCACCTCGTTGTGTCCTTCAATCCCACCGTCCATCACACCGATGAGCCGCTGATATTTCGTTCTTCCGCGAATTAGCACGCTTCGGGCTGATCCATCGACCCGCAATGGCTTGCGTCCGCTTATCCACCCCTTCCGCGTCTCTGATGATATTTACCGGCGTTTGTGACACAGCTGGATCTCGCAAAGCCAGAACGTGTCGCCTTACCCTTTTTAGCACTCCCGTCGGATTTGTGAGGCGAATATACACGGCGGTTTGCCCGAAGATGAGGCAAGCGGACGCTGCGGTACAGGACGGAGATGGAATACCGCTTATCCGACAGGATGTTGTCCCTCATATGGCTACTGCAAGGACGGAGCTTCTGTGCTGAACCATCAGCATGATGCGGTGCTGCGGCGCATTCAGAGTACTAACAGGATGCGAAAGACTGCGTGTACACCGATGCATAGCCATCACCAGACTGACTACGCCTCTATCGCACCAGCACACCTTGACAGATCGGTGAGTGTTGTTTGTTTTGTAGTGGCCACGGTCGCGCTGTGGAAGCATCGTTTGCACTCTGTCTGCCTGTCAGACACTAGAACAGTGGCACAGGCTACAATTCGTCTCGGAGGCTTGACGATATCTTCCCGCCTGATGCATCTGCATCTGGATTTACGTGCAGATGGCGGTACACGAAACGCGGCACAAGCGACATGGCCGCTTGCACTGCGTACGGTGACACAAAAGGGTAGCCTCCGCAATTTCCAGCTATGCTATGCATATTGCGGGAAGGCTTCGGTGACACAAACTTCGTTAATCTAAATATCAACGGGATACACGCGGGAATTCCACTCTCGTCCCGAGCCGCTGACACACATGGTACCAATTGAGCATCTCCAAGTTGCCCTCGCGCTGTTCCCCGACGTCCATGAAGAAGACGATAGCTGAGCATCGCCTAAGCTCCGTGCCGCAGCAGTCATGGACGTTACGCGGCTATTTTGCTTGGGTGAACCGACCGAGGCGGCTGAAGATCACATCCAGAACAGATCCCGGTTGATCTACCCCACAATCCGTTCATTTGGTGTAACCGTCATCAGCGGCATTCAACGGCACTTTGCGATGTGTGCAAGACAAGGCTGCTGACATGTATTTATTGTCATTGTAGCAGCTTGCTCAGTGGGCCGATTCTTCCAGGCCGACTTGACTCCAGACGAATGACTGCATCGGTCCTCATCTATCATGGGCTGGTGACTGACTCAAAAGCCGGAATGCGGTGTGGCAGACAATCAAATCACAACAAAGATTAAATGCGATTGGCTGCAAGCTGTCAGCCCGCTTGATACAGTTCCAATAAGTGAAAAGGGTACCGTGTCCGGAATGACGGCTTTGACCGGTGCAGACACGTCTTGTGACCAAGGCAAGGTTTTTTGCTCTCGCATGCCACGATTAGGATTTACCCGTCGAGCAGCAGATGCAAGGCACATGCCAGCTGCGAAGCTGAGATTTGCCCAAGAGAGTTGAATACTAGGCAGGGGACGTGCTGATTGGTTGATTAAATTTGACCGAGACCTGGACGGTGGAAAACTAAGCACGAGATTGTGCGGGCCGTCCGCCCCAATCTCGAGGCAGAGAACGGAGTGTTTTGGCATGTGTGGATAGTCACGAACTACTGCTGACGATTCTTTGTTGAAAGTGTCGGCGTCGTCACCTATATGCGGCCAGCTGGAAAGAGGCCGGCGCGATGCCGAGGCTGAATACGCACTGGGCGTTTCGCTATTCTCCATGGTACCGTGCCTACATCCGCACAAGTCCGAGACTCGTCACCAGGCGGGACATGCGGCACCGCCACTACTCAAGACGACTCGACAAGTGCCGTTGGCTTGTCTGTATCGTCAGTCTCGACAATTGTGGAGGCGTCGAATCAAGGGCGCAGGGAAGCGTTTTGCCATGGGCACCAGTTCGCAAGCCTTGGGCCGGCGCAAGGGATGAACGGTTTGCCAAATTGTGGATGCCAGATTGAGAGGCGTGATTCGAGGACGAAAGTGGGCTGCGTCGCATGCCAGCCGTCTTACACGAAGCAATAGCAGCTGAAGATGAGGAAGTCGGTACATGATTTTTTTTCTCGCAGGCAAGACTGGCCAGAATCGGCTCTATTACCAACCAGCTCGTGTGGACTGAGAAGGCGAACTACTGCTGCTGGTTTGGACGAACGGTTCTCCCGGCGCAAGACATCGGCTCTCCCGTACACTGCCCCGCGAAGGAGTGCCTGAAGTCGCCGAGACGCACCGGCATGTGCTTGACTAGCAAGCAGAGAGGACTCACGTCACAGTTGTCCAAGCACTTAGCAGACGTGGTTGCCGAAGTGGTACACACCAACAGTCGGACAGGGATGGTGCCCGTCCTTGTCAAGCAAAATGACCGACGCCCCGAGTTGATCAGCCCTATCAGACATGGTGGCAGATGAAAAAAGACGGCAAGCCGCGTCCCGGAGGTTGAGGAGAGGCACATTTGCGAACCTTGCTTGTGCGTGGATCAGGCTGCGGGAGGCGGCAAGCAACGATTGATTTGGGACGAGGAAGCTCGAAAGCCGTCACGATGCATGTGTGTACAAAAAAGCATAGCATGGTCGGGACAGCAGGCTTCGCAGCAGGTCGCCGGCGCCAGCACGCACGGTACGACCAAGCTGACCGGACGCAGGCGCGTACCGTGGTTCGTGAGCTGTCGAATGGGCGAGCTATGGGCTTGGCAGAGGAAGCGACACGAGGGACGCAGAGACGGCCCGTAGACGATTCAAGAGCCCGAGGTGGTTCCATGAGTCGAGGCAACTGTGCCACTTGAGACGCATGCGAGGTGCAGACGGCGGGTAGGCTCTCGCACAAGCGCGGTGCAGCCAGCGCAGAGTCTGGCATCTCGTGCAGGCGGGCGGCAGAGAGACATTTAGGATGATGTGGCCTTGGGCTTTTGAGTATTTATTGCGGCGCCGTGTATGTAATTAAAGGCTCGTAGATCACAACGCGACGGGAGTCCCCGAGGTCTTGGCGAGTCACACATCTCAAGCAAGCTGCCGGGCCGCAGCAGCATCATGCACATGGGTGGTGGACAAGGCCTGTCTCGCGGCCATGGTCATGGGCGGCGCCGTGGGCCTTGTCATGGGCGAGGTCATCATCATCCACCGGCCAAACAGCAGCGCAAGGGTGTCGTCGCCGTCGTCGTGTCGGGACGAGGAGTCGGGCGAGGTGGTAGGGGCGCCTCGTATGTGTGCGTGTGTGTAGCTCGTCTACGCGGGTGGTTGTGGGCTGCACGTCTGGCTGCAAGTGAGGGTGCCGCATGGCATTTAGCGCGTTTGGCGGACCGTCGCCGTCGTCGCTGCATGGGGCGGACAGGGTTAAAAAACGCCATCCCAGTAGAAGCGGCGAGAAGGTTGAGTTCGGGCACGCGGTGGGTAGTAATAGCGGCCGCTCCAACCTGAATCTCCTTTTTCGCTTCCACGCTCTTGGGTCCCGTCTCCTCCACGCGCTTCGAGAAGCCTTTCACTCCACAGCCTCCCTCACCTCTCCGACCTCTGCCACGACTGCTGCCTCGACCACAACCGCCGCCTCACACCCTCTCGCGGCCCAGAGCAATTCCTCCGACCCGCCCGCCTGCCCTGCCCATCGTCTCACTCTCCTGCAGCCGACGTTGCGGGCCGCTCTTGCCAGTATTTTGTGACACCTCAGCCGCCCCAGAGCATTTTCCGCACCACCCACCACTCGCCCTCGCCCTCGCCCACAACACACGCTGAGCAAGCCGGCCGCTGTGTTGCACTGCGAGAGCGCGCCGTGACAGCTCCCCGTTGCGCCCGCCATCTACCACCACCACCACCACCCAGCTCCACCACGCAGCCCAAAACATGTTCCCTCACCAGGGTGGCCAAGGCCAGCTTCCCGCCCACTGGCAACCGCCCACGGCCCAGCAGCCCGCGAATGGCTCGTATGCGCAGCCTCCGCATGTAAGTAGTACAGTCCAACAGTCACGCGCGCTGCACGTCATGTCATGTCCCTCTCGTAAGCTGGTCTGGGTGACAGCTCGCTGACACTTGACGTCAACCTAGATGAACACCACGCTCCCACCTCCACCTCCACCGCCCCAAGAGCCCCGCCCCGACATGGCCCAACATCCTCAGTACCAGCACCAGCAGCCATACCGTCTGCCAGGCCCCAATGAGTGGACACGCGCTCCTCCTCCGCCAGACTATCGCCAGCAGCCACCACCGCCTCCCCAATATGTCCAGCAACACCACCAGCCGCCCGCCCCGCGACAGCGCACTGCCATTGCCTGTCGCTACTGCCGGCGCCGCAAGGTACATGCTATTTGACGCAATTGACCCCAGAGAATGCCTGCTTACCCTCCCTAGATTCGCTGCTCCGGCTTCGAGGCGACTGAAGACGGCCGCTGCTCCAACTGCATGAGGTTCAACCAAGACTGCATCTTCACCCCAGTCTCTGCCCAGACTCAGGCCTTTGTTCCTGCACACACAGTCTGGCGCGGTGTCGGACAGCCACCGCCCATGTACGGTGCCTACGGGCAGCCACTACCTCCTGCCAGCCACGGCGAGCCATATGGCCAGCCGTCGCGCCAGCCGCAGTATCTGCCCAGCCCCACTGCAGGTCCGTACCCAGCTCATTCTGACTATGGCCCGCCCAGTGCTTCTCCAGATGATGCGAGCCGTGATGCGCTGGCAGGCAGGAAGAGACTCCATCCTGAGCCTCATACCCCTACTCTGCCCCCGCCACATCCTGGCTCAGCGTCACAGGCTCCTCATCGAGGCACTGGAGAAGGCTATGCCTATCCAGAGCCACCGTCTCTAACTTCGGCTGCTTCAACAGCAAACACTCCCACCCCTTACTCCTCCGCGCCTCCTCCCGCCCAACCTTACTACGCCGCACAGCCGCCGCGTCAAGCTTCTCCACAGAGCGCCTACCGCTACGAGCCGAGTCGCACCTCTTCATCGCCACACTCTCAAGCACCAACCACCCCCGGTGCCCCTCCTACGCCTTATTACGCAGCTCCACCGCAGCCCAACGGCGTCCTGCAGCCACCGCCTGCGCGCAGTGATGGCAGAACCCCACCACCGCCTACATCGACGCCCTCGGCTAGACCCAGCATGCGCATCAATGACCTCGTAAGCGACAATGGCCCCGCTCGCAGCTCGACCGATTCGTCCATGCTCAACATGCTCAACCGCCGGCCCATGTAAAAATCTGCCTCGCGCAAGTGGAGACACTCCGGAGCTGGTCTTACGAGAGCGCTTCACACACCCGCATCAAGCGTAGAACAAGGAGCAAAATTTCTCCTCCAAATCTGTCAGTCGTCGTTTACTGCTTTCCATGTACAATCTGTATTTTCGTCCAATCGACGTTTGCTTATCGCAAGGAGTTCTGGCTGGCAACAGCGTGATTTCTGGGCGGCTATCTGAAACTTTCAAGAGCGACAAAGAACTTCCGACATTTTCCATTTTAATACTTACGGATCCATTCCACTGTCCCTCCCGGATCTCATCTCGAGTGTGACCTGAACTACTATACTGGGTGGTTATTCTGTCTTTTCCTGCAAACATCTAGAACTAGGGGTGCATCATCACATGGAGGCTTCGTTGATATTTGCATCATCGTAGCGTAGGTTGGGTCCAGTATCAATGTGCTTCGCTGCATATTGTCTGGGGTAGTGGTCGCTTGTGCTTTTTGGTACCTCTTTCCTATCGTACCTATTACGTCTGTGTTTTTTTTCGCGGTATTCCCCTTCTTAGCCTGTCTCTACCGCATTTCAAAGTCTATATGGGAACTATTACTGGTGGGTGGCAATCTGATCGTAAACTCGCAAAGCACCTCGGGAGAGCTGAGGTTTCTCGCATCATCCTGTACGTAGTGGCTTCTTTTTTTCGTTACTAGCTATCTAAATTGGAGATGTTCGCTGGTGTAATGCTTAGTCCATCTATTCTTTGCACACCTTTGTGAACGCGGCACCGTACCTGGCCTATGTCAACCGGGCGGTGCTGATCTTGATAGCCGGAATCCCGAGCTGGGCTTGCTTGTCAAAACACCTTCTTCTACAGTCGTCACACATGCTTACCCATCGCTCTTGCTTGCGATCCCGCCCAGCCTGGCCCTGTCTAACCACGATGCCAAGACACGTGCCTGATGGACGTTGACATCACATGGTACGTTACGTTACGTACGACAAGCCACGCAGGGCAACCCGACATGACAGGTATACGATAGCGGGTACGCACGTGTTGCACCTACCATTTCAGGCCAGCACGTCCCCACGCAAGAGAATGGACAGCCGAACTCAGCCATCCGCGCCTATCGATATTGTTCCCATGGGGAGCAGACTTTGTCGTGGCTTCGATCGTATGATTACCGTACCACGGTAGCACAACCTCACTGACATCTACCCGACAGGTGTACGTGCATGACTGAATTTCGCATATTCTCATAGCACAGTACAGTACGTCTACCACGGTACAGATTCGGGGTCTCGGCGTGCCGGAGCGCTGCTATCAGACAAGTCTCGATCTGTCATTCTCGAACTACATCGGCACGGGACGGATGAGTTTCCATGGTACAAGGGCAAATGGAAACACCCAAGGCCGTCGGACTAGAACGTTGCTGTCTGTCATCGCTGGTTGCGACGCATTCCAGCATGCACGATGTAATCATTCCAATCCAAATGATTTCACCAGTACCAGTATCGTCGAGTTTGTGCTGCGGCTCGCTCGGACGCAGGGAGGTTATCAATTGCGAATCCGACAATAGTTCAATGTATCGCAGCACTGACTTGCACCAACATGTCACCCCAGATATCAGTTGAGGCTCTAGAATCCTAGTGTACCACGATTGTCTTGGAGCAGCTGATGAACCCTCAAAACTCTATTACTTTCCCGTCCCTTCCTGCTACCGTGCGGTGCAGCATCGTACCAAAGGCCAGGTTCTGGATCGCAGTCCGCCGATGTTGTCCTACTGAACAGACGGCTTGGCTATAGGCCTGTCTCACATCTACTGGCTATTGACACGCCCGCCGTTGCATGGTGTCGCCGCTATAGCGTACCGCTCAACCTCGACTCGCTAACGGAACGGTGCGAGAGAAAGAGAAGGGTTTGATTCGCCGTGACGCTGGGAAGCAACTCCGTCATGAGAACTGCCAGAGCATGCAGGGCAAAAATTGCAACAAAAAGAAACTGTGATTCTAAAGCGACCTAGCGTACCGTTCTTTTGCTGCCTCGACACGAATGCTTCTCCTTGGCTTGCCGAGACAACAAATACCCAGCTGACATATTTTGCTTGCATCACTTAATTTTCATGTGGATAGACCATTAGGTCTTTTTTCATGGTTCAGGGTTTCGGCAATGCAATCGGATCTGGGAAAGTTTGTCGTCGCTAACGAACGACGTCGTCACGAATCAATATTAGCCTGTCAGCGTTTCAGTCGAGTAAGAAATATCTTGCTTCCACAAAGGAGCCAGGAACAGGGGGAAAGGAGGCCTTTGTGGTTGCGACTCGCTTTCAGCCGATCGCAATAGCAATCCCTCACATATGCCTGGGATACATCGCTGTTCGACGAAAACGTACGTGCCCGGTCAATCCCCCTAACTCCGAATTCGGACTGTACAAGCTAAATAGTCGTTGCCCGTCACGGGACGGTGCGAGCAGAAGTTTCGAACCGGGATGCTCGATGTCGCAAGCTCAACTAAGCTGAGTCGAGCAATTGCGGGCCCAGACCTTGTCCCTTCCTTGCCTACTCATGTTAGCGTACCGCTCTTTCTCTTTCTCACTCTTTTGGCTTCGCAAGTGCATCTCCGGAGAGGACAAGTCCGGATCTCGTAGTGTAGCTGTAGTGTGTGTAGGTAGTGCTTACTAAAAAAATTCGATGGAAGATAAGCTAGGAAAGCGAGAGTGCTAATCGCCTCCAAGGCAGTTTTCCGCTGCCCTTGCATCGCACTGCTAGACATGGCTGGCTGGCTGTCACATCCGCTTGGCACCAACCCATGGTCTCATCCTTTTTTTTTTTTGCATGCTTGCGGGAGCAAGCACACGACGCCCAACTCCACAAGTTTTTCTTGTTGGCCAGGTCAAATGTGCTGTGCTGTTGCCGCTGTCCGTCCGGCAAAAGGATTCTGACCCTGGACCCATTTCCTCCGTGCCATCCCTTGCAATGCACCAACACACATGCCATGCTGTAACCGATATGTCAAATGTGCCACGTACGCCTGCAACCCCATCAGTTCCGCCGCCCGAGCCGTGTGTGCTCGCGTGTCGAAATCCGCGTTCCCATCACACATCTCATCACAAGAATGGTAGGAAGCAAGCAGCCTTGCCTTGCTCATTCTAATGAACTACGCTACACGCGCCGATTGAATCGTCTTCATCCCTGCCGTGCGTAACCGCAATAGCCATAATCATGATCCCACAACACGCCATATCATCCTATGCCTGACTACGCTACTTCCTACCACCACCAACAAAACTATCGACAAGCTCTCAGCGCTTAAAATCATTGTATGCACATACCCCTCCCTTCCCCCCATCCATCGCACATCCAACGAAACCAGCGGTGAGCAGCGGGAAGAAGCCCTGACCTACCCTGTGCTTGACCCTCTCCGTGCCCACTGCCCACACCATTGCCTCCATCCTTAGCGCCCTGTAGCATCGGCCCCAAGGATCTAGCGTACCGTGTTTCTTGCAGCGGAAAAGGGGTTAGCTCGGCTGGACCTCGCTGGGGGGCCATGTGCGTGCGGTAGGGATCTGGGTTCATGCGCCGGACCGCGATATGTCAGGTTAAAGTGGAGATGAGATATGGAAGGGCGGCGGTTTGGCCGGTTTCTGGTTGATGACGCGGGGTGGGTGCCTAGGAGAGGGGGAGGCTGGAGGAAATTGCTCGGATGGGCTGGTGACGACGGTCTGGTAGTATGTGTGAGTGGAATGAGAGAGGTCGCGAGCTATGTCATGATGGTTTATCCCAACTTCATAATCACCTGGTACACTCGGTACATGCTGCTGACTCGATGGAAACGATACAGCAATCTACCGTGTCCAATAAATCTGCGGCATTTACAAGCATCTCAAATAGAGGTGCTAACTTGCTCATCGACAATTCGCTTCGAAACGACGGGTACCATGCATGCTGATACTGAGTATGCTCAAGACATGAACTCGTGTAATGGTCAGCTATCAGGACCCTCTTGTCTCTTCAAAATCTTGATAGAAAGCTGTTTTTATAGAAGAAACGAATGGCTCACAGATTTCAATACGTGCCCTAGGTAGAGATGTGCACTATTGCTCATCTGTTGATCCATACAAGCAAATCTCCACAAGTATCTCTAGGGTGGATTTGATTAGATTGAAGCTCGCAAAGAGCAACCTCCTTCGCATTTAGCGCAGGTCTCCGCCACAGTATTTACTTGAAGCCTTCTAGCTGTGAATAGGCTAAGCGTCGGAGTTGGAAAGCACACTACCACTGGGCGGTACTGAACATGTATAGAGCAAGTAGAGTCAGTAATTCAGTCGGCTTGTTTCACGTAGTGCCATTGCATGTGCACCTACCATGTTAGAAATCCGATAAGACTAAACATGTGAGTACTTGCATGAGAGATACTCGACTGTGCGCAGATGCTGGGCTGTCTCTAGACCTAAGTTTGTAAGATTCTTAACAGCCCGCAGCTGTTCGCAGGTCCAAGTGATCTCGGGGTAGCACGGCATTTTTCTTAATTAAAGCCAACAAGCTACCTCGTAGCTTAGAGTTCAATTGCTACACGAGCTCAATTTCATGATGCGGTACTGTGCATCATTCAAGCTGTATGACCTTGACCCTCCGGCTTTTCTCCAACGGTTGTCCACGCATAGACGAAAGCGACCTTCCTAGTTGAGACATCTACTCATACTCTAGCAAAAACCAAGCAAGGATAGAAAATTGTACGCATTAGTCAAATTGACCAGCTATCTGCATGTGTGGCCCATGACCACAAGAAACCTCAGTACAAGTACCAATACCTCTAACCCATCACTTCTTCTTGCGTAAGCGTTTCTTCTCTTCTGAACCCATCACAAGCATATTCCTCAAAGCCCGGAGAACATGTTCCCACAACTGATCTCGTCTGAGAGCGTGACGAAGCAGATCGCGTCTGCGCACTCCTGCAAAAGGCACGGCAGGCTGAACATTCGCATTATGATTGTGGGCGTGTTCAAGGGATGGAACTCTGGCTGAAATGTTGTTTGTGGGAGGTTCGGGGGCTGGATGTGGATTAATGAGGGGGTCGTCTTCACCCATGGCATCTATGGCCTCATCTACGTCTGAGTCTATGCGCCTGTCGCGTGGTGCAGAAGACTGTGGCTGCCAGTTTATGGAACCATCCAGGTTTGAGCTTGTACGTTTACTGCGTGATCCAGACGACGGCCGACTCTCGAACGAAAACCTCCTCCTGGTAGCCCTGGTAGAGGAGTAATCACTGCCGCCATCTCTGCCGTCGCCTGGCGTGAAGATTCTGCTCTCATTGGGTAGCCGCTCCAATGCTGCTGACACTCCATCTAGTCTTGTAGCCGTGCGTTTTTCTTCTTCTGCTTTTGCATTTTGTTCGTGGAAATGCAAAGAGGCAGCATCTGACAGGTCGCTCGAATCCCCGGATAATGCTGAGTAGTGCGATTTAGGGGAGCCCGGTACGTACACGTAGGTTCCATAATCATTCGTGGGGATCCAGGAAGGATCGTTTATGTCGGGAAGTATGAAGTCGTTCCTAGAGCTGTTTCCAGATTCGCCTTGGTCATCGATCCTGGAGCCATTGTTAGGCTCGTTGAGTATATCTCCCGTTAGATGGTCGTCTTCATGGCCGCGAATATGGCTGCCTCCAGGCCCGTTCGCTGGTTCGTCCTCTTCGAGAGGTTCATCGTCCAGTGGTTCAGGTGTCCCAGCACCACCTCGAAGACAAGGTAGCTGTCGCCATAGCGGTACAGGTTGCTCAGCTCCTTTCCCTGAACCTAAGAGCTGTCGGTCGCCATTATTCGGTGCCGACGGTCGCAGTATAGGTTGCTGAATATCTCCCTGCAAAGCGTGCCAAGCACTGTATGCCTGAACCCAAATATCGTCATTGCTCGAGGAAGAAATCCAAGTTTCAAAAGCGGCGCCCAGGCACTTTGAGTCTTGTCCCGGCGGTGCATCAGTATGGTTCTTTCGAATGCGATACTTTGGAAATCCGCGCTTGAACCTTTCTGTGCATGCCTTCTCTGGTGATGGCCACTTCCATAGGGTAGGAGGGCCACCAGCACCATAGGCCGTTGTGGCTCTGGCTCTGGCTGCGGCGTTGGCGGGTGCTTCGGTTGCAAGTCTGTTTGTCACATTGACTTTGACTTGCGCTTTGATAGTAGGTGTCCACCGCTTCGCCGATATCCAGAAAGATATGGGTGTTCGCAAGGTGACCGCACTGGAATGCCAGTGTCTATCCCGTATAGGAAGCCTCCATTCTTCATTCACGGTGAGATCGTTCTCTGACATCGCTCTCCGCTCTATACGAATCGAGCGGCCGGACGACACGTTGTCGTGGCATTCGTATGGATTGCTAGATGCAGCTGCTGGTAGCGCGAGACCGACTGTCGGTGATGCAGTGGGTACTGCAGATTTTTGGCTGGAAGCATTTCCGTCCACAGATCTGGAACTAGCCACCCGAGTGTCGGATGTTATACTGCCATAGGATGGAGTTCCCCCAATCTCCCACCACGAACTTGCATCTCGACCCGCAATTGTAGGCGATGAGCGTTGAGCTGGATGAGTGTGATGTCCGTCGAAGTTGGCCCAAGGGTTCGTGTTTGGATTCGCATCATTGGTAGATGGAGTGAAGTTGCCACGCGGATTGAGCGTGGCTTGGACGGAGCCTGGAAGACCCACTGTACTCTCTGAATGTCTTCGTCGGCTAGGTACGGGTGCGAGTATGGCCTGTTCGGAGGTCGAAGATGCGGGTTGCGGTTCTGAGTTGATTGACTCCTAGTCAGACCTCGAAGGCCTAGTTTGCCTGTCAGTGACAAGCACTTTGAACGTCAGAATAGCACGCTCGCCTTGAGAAGTTCCTTATGTCCGCCTTCCCAGATTTACCCTCAGATTCCTTGGGCTCGGTAGCGAGTGGGATTTGTAGCTCTGATTCATGCGTCTGTACGGCGGAGGGCGTGGATATGGCGTCCAGATTGTTGTCGCTTTGCGAGTGAGCAGGATCTGCCATGGTAGTGATGAGTCGACGAGTGATGGTTGAGTAACGATAGCAGAGAAGAGATACCGTTGGTGATACAAGCGGTGGTGATAAAGAAGAAACTAATGTTAGTAAAGTTGCGAGATAGAAGAAGTGGTGGCCTTTGTGAATTCGAGCGCTTGCATTTTGTATGCCTTTCAAGGCGGCACTTCCTTCCCATCCCAGTCCCAGCACTTGCCCCGTCCTTCAGGCGCCACTTGCCGAATTACGTCAATTAGCCTTTCTGCAACCCAGTCGCGCTCAAACAGCTTCTCCTTCTTGACGTTACTCCAGAAGTCTTTACTCAAACCAGTCTTGACGGTTCCGGGATGTAAGGCAATCGCCATCGCGTTGTCGCCCGACGCAGTCCTCAGATGGTTGTCAAAGGTTTTGACTACCTGATTGACACCAGCTTTTGATGCACGATAGCTGTACCATCCTCCTAGACGGTTGTCGCTGATACTACCAACGCGAGCTGACATGATAGCCATTGTAGCTACATCTGGTAAGCCCGTCATGTCCTCTTGGTCCTTGTCAACGACTGCACTCTTCCTTGGGAGGAAAGAAGAAAAGTGCTTGAGCATAAGCATTGGACCCAGAGTGTTAGTTCGGCTACGCATTGGTGTACGTAGTCAGTACACATCGCATGTCCGGTTTGGATAAGACCATTACTCACAAAGTCAATAACGCTTCGTCAGCGTTGATCTGGGAGGGTGACTTCTCGGGGAAAAGGATCCCCGGCACCATCATAGCTAGTTGAAGCTGATGAGGGCCATCACTGAACTGCTTCTTGCAGGTCGCTGCTGCATCTGCAATAGTCGTCTCGTCTAGACTAAGATGAGTACTCGAGCGCCATTGTGCACATCATCACATGTGCTAAATACGTACCTAGAACATCCAATTTCAACACCATCAATCGCTTCTCGTCAACATCCATACCATCGAGTAACTCCTCTTTTATCTTATCGAGATCCTTTCGGGCTGTTGTAACAACAGGTGCGTTCGTAGTCTGCAACACCCGTCTTGCGAGTGCGAAGCCTATGCCCCGAGAGGCCGGTGAGATCAGCGACCACGGTGGCATCGCGATAGGAGCAATTGAAGGGTAGCAACAGATGCCATGCTCGTGACAATCTTTTGATGCTTCTGAGCTTCGCGAAAAGTGGTCGGGACGCGATCGATGATGACATACTTGCCCTGTCGATCGGTCGGCTAGTGTAATTTGAGCTAGTGCATTCTTCACCCGTCTGCAGCCGGCATCACTTCACTCTGAGCATCTTTTTCTTACACACCTCAAATGCTCAAAAAAAAGGCGCAGTTTGTATGAGGTCACATCGAAAGCGTCAAGAGCCCATACAACTGTAGTTTTCAACGTTCTGTCGCAACGGCGCCATATACTTTTGGCAGTGGGTCTGAACGACGCAACTTTCCGTCGCGGAACGTAAGTATGCAACAGTCTCAAAGTCTCACCGCCCATAGCGTCGTGATTCACTAGCCAATATGCAAAGAAGCAATGCTGCATTCCTTGCGCGTATCTTAATTATCGTAAACATCGATGTCGAAGTCACCCTCACAAGAAGTCGCCATCGCAGCTCCGGCACTTGCCATCTCTGCACCAATGTCCGTCTTTGCTTGCTCTCGTCGTTTTGCCTCTCGCTGCTGATAGTCAACCTTTTGCTTCTTGGCCCACTCGTCGCGCGTGCCATGCTTCTTTGTGCGTATGCGATACGGCCTTCACTTTTGTGCTTGTCACGCTCTTCTCAACACCAATATAATTCAATACGATAGAGCAGAGCTAGAAGTATGGGCGGCTATTACATCAATCACGGTCAGTTGTGGCTACGATAAACATGCCAAAAGCACGCCAGCAACTACGTTTCGATCTACACCTCAAGTCTCTGCAGCAAAGCCCTCATGATCCAATTTTTCCTTCCAGTAACATTCTCAATTCTCTTCAAGCCAGCATGAATCTCTCCCTGTAGTCGCTTCAGTGTATTTCGCGTGTACATCATGCTCCTCGCTCGGTCAAGTTGCCCCAGCACAAGCCTTTTCTGCTCATCTGATAGATATCCGATATCCCGCCGTTGTCGAAGAAGCTCATACAGTTCAGCGTTGTCTTCGCAATTGTTCAACGCGTGAACGAGTGGGAAGGACATTTTACCCTCGTCCAGATCCTCACAAAATCCCTTTTGAGCACTGTATTCTGCCGAATGAAGGTTCTGATAATCATCGCGGACCTGGTATTGTATCTCGATACAGCTTACAAGCTCCTCAATATCTGCGCCTCGCGTAACTCGCAACAATTCGTAATCTGCAGACGCAAGCAAAAGCCGCACCAACAATCGAAACAAACCTCCAGTTTTCTTGTTCACCATCTCCAGATACTCGTTCTCGGACGGACACTGGGTGTGATATGTCCAAAAGAGATCATAAGACTGGCCGATGTGCAATTCGGCGAGTTCTTCGAGGACAATCTTCACCTCTGCGGCGCCCAATTCTTCAGCCTCACTCACAGCTAGGAGGATTTCGTAACATCCGGAGTTGATCGTTTGTGCAATACCGAAGACCGTGTGTGTCGCTGGCTGACCTCGTCGGAGATTAGACCCATCTTCGATATCATCGAGCATAAGAGATGCAGCGTGTAGACGGTTGCCTAGTGATTTGATGCGGGATACGACGGTCTCGGGTACGTTGAGCCAGACATTGAGAGCGTCGATGAAGGTGTCTCGTACACCTTTGGAGGGGAGTGAAGTGATGTAATCGAAAGGTGCCTGGACATTCTCTTGGCCTAACAGATCGTTGCAAAGTATCTGATCGTCCTTCAAGGTCGAAGAAGAGACATATGTACAAGAAGAGATCGAAACATCATCCCTCGTTGTGAAGCTGTCGTCTTCGGAGGCTTGAAGGGATGAACCGGTAGACGAATGCCGGGAGCTTTCATCCCGCTCTTCCTTTACCTCGGTTCGTATATAAGCATCATACTCAAGAAAAAGTCTCTTTTAAAGTGACTCCGCTGTCAGTCCATCTTCCATGCCCACATTCGGGTCATATCTGTACATTCGGTGGTACCTCGGGCAACTCAAACTCCAAACAACATTTCCGCTGATCTGGTAAGCCAGCGCGTCCAAATATCTGTCAAGTTTCTTGAGGTATGGGCGTATGTTTCTGCCGAAACTCTGCACAGCTCCCCAGAAACTGCTCCTCGTATCTTTTCGTCGCCTCCAAAGTCATACTTTTTGCCGCATTTACATCCTTGTTGTACCATTGCATGTAGAGCCAGACCGCGTTCGTCAGTGTTTGCGACTTTCCAGATTTTTCGAAGTCCGCATATTCGCGGTCAAAGGAGAAGAAGTCATTCGCCAGGCCGAGAGCTGCGTAACAAGGCTTGCGAATTTGCTCGAGTTGAATGTCCTCTTCTTTGGTGAGTGTCACACCCATGCCAAACAGCAGCATGGCTTCCACAAACCTAAAGCGGTCAGTCGTGACAAGCGCATTACTTATTCAACGGCAAAGAGAAAACTTACGGCGCTCCAGTATCAACCATGCGGAAGTTCACGTACTCTTCCAGGTGGGTAAAGCGCTTGTTCTTGTCTCGTAGAGTCGTATCAATCATCTCTTTCCACACACTTTTTACTCGTTGAGTACACGCATGGTCGATGGAAGCAAGCTGTATCATAATCTTTGCTTGAATCTGTGTCTTGCCCAGTGCCGGGTTCGTGTTTTCCCACTCTCTTTTGTATTGATTATCAGCACGCGACTACGATCATCAGTGATCTTCAATCTGAAACACCAGTTGAACTTCTACCATACCGTTTCTGGTCTCTCAAGCTCAATCATGTTATCGTAAAGGAAGGGAAAACTTTTTCGGCCGCCCCTAAATGCTATTCGGCCGCCCCTAAAAGATCAGATGAGATGAAAGGAAACTAGACGAGATAGAAGGTTTCTAAGCCACTAAAACGTAGTAAGAATATTAAAATATTATCGCCTAATTAGGCAAGTTCTTAGTAAAGGATTGCTTCTATCTAATCTTTCTAGGTAGCAGATTGCTTCTATCTCATAATTTAGGATGGATTGCTTCTATCTAGTCTTTCTAAGTGGCGGATTGCTTCTATCCTATCTTTCTAGGTAGCGGATTGCTTCTATCTCATAATTTAGGGTAGTATTTCTAGGCACCTATTTGCTTCTATCTCGTCTAGTTTCCTTTCATCTCATCTGATCTTTTAGGGGCGGCCGAATAGCGTTTGGGGGCGGCCGAAAAAGTTTCCCCTAAAGGAATGCATCTGTAGTCAGTAAGCAAACTGCCTCGGTCATAGGGAAACCGTATGGTACAGGTATCGCACACTCAAGCACATAAGCGATGATGCGCAACCTTTCTGGCTTGGTAAGTGGTAGGACCACAGCCGAGAAGTTGCCGTTGATAGGGTTACATCCTCCGAATTCTTCGATTGGCCCAACGTATTTGATCCAGTCCTGTCTCGCTTCATAACATCCAGCGTTGGCTTCAGACTCGTATTTGTGGCGCCTCAATGCGTAGTCCGAGCAAAGGCTGTGTGTATCGTAGTGAGAAAGAGAGACAAGGTAAGAAGTCTCATCAGCCGATGCTTGCTTCGGTCTGTCCATGATTACGAAAAAAAGAGATCAAAAAGGGCAAATATGTTCTCGAGTTGGTCTTGTTCCGCCAGTTGGTCTCAGAATTCTGCAAATAGCACGTCTCTTAAGTCAGACACGTAGTAAGGCATCGTCATTCTTTTGCATACTTCTTCATGAGATATTCGACATCATGATGAAATCAACTCTTGCGTGTACCGAGAATCTGTGTGATGGTCATACCTGCGCACTCACGTGTGCACAGTTTCTGTCATGCCGATCGAGATTGATGTGCTGTACAAACAGGGTGGAGATTGCCAATCGATCGCACAACGATGTAGCAAGCCTATTCCTTTGGGAAGATCGGTTGCGGTCTGAAATTTAGCAAGACATTAAGAGTGTAGCTCTACACATTGGGTTTACCGATCTACGGTCACTGGGGGGTCTCATGCAGGGCAGGCTCATCCCAAGACTCTCAGAGCTGCTTTCTGCAGACTCGCTTCCAGATCGTGTGAGTCCAATATGGATACCATGCGCCAGATCGGACATGCTGGCGGCTATCCTTCACTGTGACGTTTACTGTGGTCATATCAGTACCCGAGTGTGGTATAGGTCACCGCACCACTGCCATGAACTTTAGTGTTGCTGCCTTCACAGTATCTCAGCCAACTACTCCCAGCAATGATGAATTAAAATGGCTTCATTTACACTAGGAAGGTACTGATAGAAGTGCCAGTTTTTTTTTTTTTTGGATAGCTATGATGTAAACATGACATGCCACCGCGGCCCTACTAATCGCTGTCTGCGTGGTATCAGACCAAATCGACGAAGCTGGTCAAGCGACACAAAAGCAATCGCACAAGTAATTCAAAGTATCGTGAAAAAAAAGGAAGTCGAGTGCTATCGTGGGCGGATCGCGAAGATAGGTGTCTACGTTCGATCCATTCGACTCCTGATCCAGGGTTCATACTTCCTCCTCGTCTCTTCATCGCCGTAGATATCAATATCAAGGCCATCATCCGCAATCATCCTATCCATTTCTCTCCGTGCTCGTTCTTCCTCCGCTTGCTTCATCGCCTCTTGGGCCATTTCTTCCTTAGCCTTATCTTTTACTTCACCTCCAGGTATCCTATCTACAAGAGGCTGAGAATATGCATTTTGCAAGCCCAATCGCATCATCTCTTGCTGTACCCTCTTCCTCCACTCGATGTATGCCAACGCTTTAGGACATTGATTCAAACGCAACTGTCGATATACAAATGTGTATTCTCTGTGGAGCTTTGGCTCTATGTTCTGGCCTAGTTTTTGCCATGCTTCGATATCTCGGAGATCAGGATAGTTCGGGGCAAGCTGCTGTGCCTTCTCCAAATTTTGCTTGTTGCGTTTCCGGAGGTTGTTCTGTCGTGGGTAGTCTGGTGCTCCATGTCTATGTCGTTTGCTACGATCAGGGTCGAGAGCGTTCGAATGAGACGCGTATAGCCTTATAGTCTTTTCTGGGCCATGTAATTGCGGTCTCCCACTTTCAACTCTATAGTTGTCTGTACTCTCAGTATAACTGTTCCATGTGGTGACGTCGCCTCCTTCGAACACTCGGTGTTCGTCACCAGATATGTTCCATTTCCTCTTCCTGGCCCTTTCTTGTATAGACAAAGAATGCTTGGCCTGGCCCTCAGCCGGAAAGCCTCGCTCACCCAACACCCTTGTGGACCCTAGATTCCTTGCCTTGTTGGGATTTATGGAAGCCATACCGGTGTTCGGCCTTGGAAGGATGATAAAGCGCGTCTGTTACGAACGCGGAAGTAGACTTGAGGCTGTCGAAGGAGTGTAAGATGTGGGGTTGCAATTGTAGTTACTTGAAGGTGATTACGGTCCTCCAATTATCATTTAAAGATAGAACGCTTATTACACTCTTTCACAAGGCACGCGTATATCACCCGTGGTTCAGGCTGCACTTGCGCTTGGTGGTTGTACCACTAAAAACGCCAGGCAACAAGCGACAACGTGACGAAAAGGTGTTTAGTTAAGGTTTCCCCTAAGGATAATACGTGAAAATTAGCAAGGCTCTGAACCAATCACTGGCGCTTTAGTTGTGACTGACGCCTTTCTCTGTGGGCAGTGTTGCGAGGTCGTAAGTGTGTAAGGTATGAATGTACCAAGTGACTGGAAAGGTTAGCGCGAGTTGATTGCAAACATAGCAAGTCACAGCCAGTTGGGAATGAATGAGCCTGAGAAGCGTGGTGACTGCGAAAGCGTGACAGTACCTAGACACAAATATACTCAAGGCAAGATTCACTAGGTGGTTTTGAATAGACCACATATCATGAAAATCAGCCACTCATACGAAGATCTCTTAGAACGTCGAGACAGCCCAGGATAGGACCAGGCTAGTCACACATCATTAGAATATCTACAGCCATACTCATCAACACCGGTCTATTCTTCCATCCCACAACGAGCACATCTCATCACTCCCCCATGGCTCTGACATCGGTGTAGACAGAAAAAGACTAAGAAAGAAACAAAGAAAGCTCAACGAGGGAATCACAAGCTATACATTTCGGGAAATCGAGACCCAAAACGCCTATTTGATCTTTGATGGAGAGGCAGAAAACCACAAACAGGGAATAAAGCGTAGTGGTAGTGGTAATGATGATATGTGGATGAGGAACATGGTCAGATCGCTAGCGCAATGCGAAACGTGACAGTTAAAAGAAATATGATGGGTTATGTACAAAAAAGGAGTCGTAAAGGCTCGTCAAAGGAGGAAACAGGGACAGACAATATGCAAACAAGTCGTCCCCCATCCTACTACTAGTCACCTCAGGTTCTATCTGGGCGGACTTCGCGGACTACGTGGTGGGCTTTTGGGTACTGCAGGCACCTCCGGTACATCTTCTTGGTCTTGACGAAGATGTTCTGGCGCCTCATCTCGTGTTATTGTCGCTCTGCGGATCGCATTTCGTAACCGGCTCATGACTGCCGGTTGTGTATTGGGGGGACCGCCCTGATAGCTGTTCCTGTGGCCTTGGAAACTGTTACGGCTGTGGGACGACTCGAGTCGTGTCAGCATGGCGGCCGAGGTAAAGTCGTTGCTTTGCTCGAAACTAGGACGCACGCGGTCCATAGACATACGTGCGCGATCGAAGCTTGGTCGTACGCGGTAGTCGGTCGACATACGATGGGCGAGGGGAGGAGCTTCCGTTGTAGGGGCGGGTGGGAGGCCCTCCATAGAACGGCGGAAAGTGTAGTCGGTGCTGTTGCTGCCATTCTGGCTTCTTGGGTTGTGCGTCGTAGCGGTTGGAGCAACTGATGGTGGGTAGATGGGTCGAACGTCTTCGTCCGTGACATCGGCATTAGCGGCTTTGTACTTCGAAGCATCGGCTTCCGATGACTGGTTGGAGTCTTGCTCACCAGCCACCTTCTCTGGTCGAGGAGGAAGGTAAGAGTCATTGTCTCTCAAATAGTCGAATTTGCCTTGCTTCACCTGCTCCCGAATAATGTCCGCATCTAGAGGGAAGTAGATCTTCTGCACCACCTTGAAGATGAAGCGCGGAAGCAAACACGCTACCGTAGCGCACAGAACGTAAGCCCAGAAATTGAGAGTGCCGTATGCTTCGGCACCAGCCTTGTAGAATTGAGCACTCGAGGTGAAAGAGGTGTACACCCCAGTCCAGAACCAGATGAAGAGGGTACTGATGACGACGATCAGGACGATCAGCCAGTCCCAACGATATGTGTTGTACAAGACGTAGATGTTGGCTGCACAAACAGCTGTAGTTGCAGCGTAGATACCCATGCGTCGGAACTCGGCCAGATCCAATCCGTTGGAGGTCGCAAAAGTTGCGGGTGCGAAGATTTCGTACAAGAAGAAGAAGGCAACTGCGGATTGGTAGATACCATCGACCATGTAAGCCCTGTGATATGTTAGTGTCTTTCATGTGTCTTGAGCCGATTTTGCTTACCAGAACTTGGGCTGGCTCCATTCCTTTCGCTCGATACCACGACGGTACAGCTCCGGGACGGCCAGAGATACTCTATCATCGACATCCTGATCCAGAACACCCATGACGATAACAGGGAGTGACGTAAACGCCAAGTTGAAGAAGATAATGTAAGTGTAGTCGAAAATATACTGGCTGTCGAAATTGGTGTAAATCTGGTACCAGAAGAGAGAAAACGTCCAAATGATGTTCTTGTAGAAGAAGTTGGCAATGGTTTCTGCGAGCCTACGGTATGACCATCGACCGTGAACGAGCACAAGGCGAGTGAGGAAACGGAATTGACCAATGGCGTAATCAGAAGACATGACGGCTGCGCGGCCCTCGACACCAGCGATACCGACACCTACGTGCGCCTCTTGAATCATGGCCACGTCGTTGGCACCGTCTCCAATGGCAAGAGTGAGACAGTCCAATCCAGTCTTGACCATGTTGACAACTGCTGCTTTCTGACTGGGACTCACACGGCAGCAAAGAACGGATCGACAACGCCTACAAAGCAGAAGGAACTTCCGCTTCACTGATTCATCTAGAGCCAGCTTGAGAGTGTCTCCGTCGATGATGATGGCATGCGTAGGTGGTGGTGGTTCGTGATCGTTTTGAGCGGCGGCCAGTTCTTCTTCAGAGCCTTCCAGACCAAAGATCTTCAATTTCTCGTCGAGCTGGGCTTCTATAGAATCGATGTTGTCGTCTGTAACCTTGAGGATAATCAGGTCCATGTCGTTGTCGAGCAGGTTGCAAGAGAAACCGATGTTGATGGCTGTCTCAACTTTGTCACCTGTAAGAACCCACAGCTTAATACCGGCCTGACCGAGAAGAGAAATGGACTCTGGTACACCGTCCTGAAGTCGGTCTTCGATGGCAGTTCCTCCAATTAGCCACAAGTGGTTTTCGATGCGATCGGATACCTCTTCCAGCTTGTCCTCACGTCCTTGAATAGCGTTGGCAGCAATGTCGTAATCTCTGTTCCACTCTTGGTATTCCTCCTCGGAGATCTCTCGTTGAGCAATACACAGTGTTCGGAGTCCTTCTCGCGCAAACATCTCAAGATGCTCACCAGTATCGGCACGGAGTTGTCGTTGCTCGTTGGGGATCAACCTAGAGTAGATCATGCTGTCGGCTCCTTTGCAGAATAGGACGATTCTGTTATCAGGCATTCTGATGATCGCACTCATTCGCTTTCTGCTGGAGTTGAATTCCAGGGTATTGAGGACTTGGTATTTGCGCTCTTGCCCCAAAATATTGACAACGAGACGATCGTCTTCGCGGCCAACGAATGTGAAGCCACAATCACGGGCAGTAGCGACGAGTGCGGCTTCATCGGGCGATTGTGCTTTGAACTCGATCTTCGGTGGGTCACCAGGAGTGCGTTCAGTAACGACGGTATGGCAAAGGGCCAAAGCAATCATAAACTCCTCATTAGCTCTCTTTTGTTCCATCCCAGATTCTCCGCGCAGGTCGTCAATATAGTCCGGAGCAATAAATGTCAGATCTTCATCCCACAAGTAGGGGTTGTCATGCATCTTGCGAATTCCCTCGAGCATCCGCACACGATCGCGCGCAATCTGTTCGCGGGCCTTGGCACCCTCAACTTCGACGTTGATACCTTGTCTCCGCTGCATGCCTGCCTGAGCCTCTGTGTATGCTTCTCCGTAAGGAACTCCGTTAATGGTTGCCTTCTTGAACTCCATGACATTCTGAGTGAGTGTACCCGTCTTGTCCGAAAAGATGTATTCGATCTGGCCCACGTCGTCTGAGATATTCCAGGACTTGGGAGTACAGGGATAGTCCAGCTTTGCGTAATACATGTGTATGTCGCTGTAGATAAAGAGGGCCTGCAGCGTACGAATGATTTCTAGGGTAATGTAAAGCGAAATAGGAACCAAATTCTGGAAGAGAATGACGGCAGCCCAAAACGCAATTACACCGTCTGTAGCAGGAGCACCTCCGTAGGAACCATATTCGAAGAATGAATGGGTGGTGTCGTCCCGGGCCCAAGTCACACCAAGCACGATTCCGGAGACCAGACACATGGCGGCCAGAATGAAGAAATTGTATACAACGTTCCAGTTCAGCTCCTTGGAGATCCTGGCTCTCTTGCTGGGCGTGATACCGGAGTTGATCATGATCTTTGTCTCTTCTCCGGTGAAGACGACGACACCCAATACCCACTCGGTGTTTCGCAGTTGACAGCCACGGAGAATAAGGTTGTTAATGGAAATGGGCTCGACCATTTCGTACGCCGGCGCCTCGGGATCTTTCGCGTTGTGCTGCTGCCACCTGATGGCTGCACTGTACGAGTACAAGTTGGAATGTGCGCCTTCGCTCTCGATGACGAATTCAGCGCGCTCGCAGTGTCGAGCATGTCGCACATCTCGAGTGGCGTGGAGTGCATTACGCACCTTGAGGTTGGTCTCACCGTCCAGGTTCTTCGTCTCAACATAGCATGCGCCGTCGTCGGAAGAAGTGGAAAGCACAATCACGTCGGCAGGGATCTCCTCATCGTTGTATAGGCGCACGAAATCACCGACCTGGACATTTTTCCATGCATCTTTCTTGAAACGTGCCTTTTCTGGAGCATTCTTGTACGGGTTCAGCACACTTCCCCAGAACTTCTTTTGAGGGCCAGGATTGGAGTCGGCGCCGCGAATTTTATCTCCTTCACCGGGTCCATGGGTCAGTGAAGGAGAATGCGTAGGAGATTGGCCTGGTAGCGGTGAGGGCACGGGTGTCATCTGGATGTCGTTCTCGTTTCCAAAGTAGGATTCTCTGCGTGATGCAATGGAAGCTCTTCGGGTCTCGTGGGAAGGGCGCGAGCCGTCCATGCCGCCGTCCTCACCTCCTTTGCCCTTTGCACCCTTTTTGCTCTTGGCGCTCTTCATCAGCCGCCATGTTGAGATTATGCTCTTTGTGGTTGCCTTCTTGATCTTCCGCCATAATGATACCGTGTCTTCGGCCGTGTTTACGTTGTTGAAGCCGACGAGTCGGTGAACGGGCGCGTTGTTGAGCTCGTTGTCTAGGACGGTTCTTCGCCAATCCTCTACTCCATCCTTGATGGACGTTACGACGAGAATGACGATGAGCGGTACTGCATTAAGGGCCGGATTACTAGCACCGAAAATGGAGAAGATCTGAACAAATCAGTTAGCTGTCGGATGTTTCGGAGGAGACGGGAGGGTACGCACGCCCAGGATAATAATGAACAGGAAGTAGACGTTGGCGATGTTGTGGAACTGGAACCACAGGTTCTTGGGTATGAAGCTGAGCGGCGTGTATTTGGCGGTTCTTATCTTGTTGCGGGCGTACTGTGCGAGGGGGTGGCCTTCTTCGTCGCGTTCTGTTTGCGGCAGGGGAACGTTGAAGTAGACTTTGCGCCCCGAGTCTCCCTCTTCGGCGCCTGCATCTGAGCTCTCAGGAGACGGGTCGGTCGGAAGTCCGCCTTCCTTGCCCAACGGGTCTTGCTTCTCGCCGCCAGAGCCTATACGCCGGTGGAGACGTTCCTTGAGGGAGTGTCGCTTGTTTGCCGCTTTGATGCCTGTCGCGCGATGTGTTGCCCCTGCATGTCCCGTCAGCGCAATGCTCTCAACTGTCGTCTCTCTGTGCTGTCAGCGGATGGGCGTCACTCACAGCGTATGCGCTTCTGCGGATGTGACACCTCGGTCTCGTTGGGCTCCATGTAGGGTTGCAGCGTCATGGTGCTTGTCGTCGGGGATGCTGCGGCGCTGCAGGGAGGGCGGCGACGGCCTGAGCCGGAATGGCTCTACGCTGCAATGCAAGCCAACTCGTTCGCGGAGGACGCTGGCACGTGGCGAGGGGTGCAGTGCATGTAGTGCCGGGCGGTGGTCGAGGGGCGTGGTGGTGGTGGTGGTGGTGGTGGTGGTGGTGGTCGTCGCGAAGGGTGCGAGGAGACGGGCGGCCGTGTTGTATTCGGATATTAAAAGATGCCGGACGAGAAACAGCGGTTGCGAGCACTAAACTCGACGTTGGAGGCGGAGCGACGGTCAGATTATGCGACGGAGTGATTAGCTGGCGCGAGGTCGTCAGAGTGCAGGGCCGTGGAGAATCAGCACGAGGGGAAGGCAGCGGAGCGGCAAGTACTGCGCAGACCCTGATGAATGATTGATGCGTTGCTGGGCTTTAGTTGCTTCCATATGCTTACAGCATCGGCGCGGGAAGCACACGCCTCACACTCCCTCGGCCGGACGCTACGGTCTTAACAAGATGCGAGACTAGTTCCCCTTGAAGGGCCCGCACTGCGATCTGATCATTTCACGCACCAACACAGGAGGATTTATTTCTGTCAATCGCGTTGGCGACGCGTGGCCTGGGCCTGCAGAGACAGAGACAGTAGATGGAGTGCACATCCCCATCTCACTCCCTCTGGGCGGCGGATAACAGCATCAACAACGCTCTTCGCACTCTGCGAAGGTCTTGGTCTGCTTCAGCCATGTCAGCTTGGGACCGTCCGAGGACTAATCATAGCGGAGCATCCGCGGGCTCCAGTCAGCAGCCCTTCTAAGCAACCACCCAGGGTGGAGCGTCATTTCAGCCCTCCCTCGTCTCTCGACCCAGCTGTCTATGTCGTCGTAGCCGGGAGATCCTCGAGCTCCGTGCTTCGTACAAGTGACTTTGGACAGCTGGCACCCGGATTAATGAAGCTTCTAGAGCCGTATCCCATGTGCTTAATATAACATGTCGCAGGCCAGCGTAGAGAGGGCAATGCGAAACCGTTGAAACAGGACGTCACCATTCAGTGCCGGCGGCATAGCTCGGATGCGGCGACGAATATTCTGCAGTGTAGAGTTGACCAGCTTCCCGCGACGTACGGATGCCGGCGAACTCGCATTCCGATGCATGTCGTCAACGGTAAATGAATCTAGCCCATCTGCAGCCAGGCGTTGGCGGATTGCGCACAGATACTTAGCTCCGGGTGAAGTTGTCTCCAGCCACGTGATAGCGTGCCGCGCATCATGTCTAGCATCTAGCCTGGAAACGCCTCACGCGTCGTCGCAAGGTTGCACCACCCCCACTCGTCAACATCACCACCCCTCTATTATTCTCCGCTATGAGACCCCACAAGAAAAGCATCCGAGACTTTTTCTCTCCCGTACCGACAACTTCCACAATTGCTGCTGCTTCGCAATCGACCCTACCCCAGAGAAGTACATGCTCCCTGCCGTCTGAGACTTGCTGCCTCAGGCTGACCCATCCCACCACTGCAGATGTAAAACATGCGCCTACCCGTCAGTCTAACCCTCCAAAATCTTCTGCAGCCCTCTCGGACGCCGTCTCGCACGTCACTCACCCCCCGCTTTCCTCGTCGAACCCCTCCGTTTCGACTGCGCCTTCCACAACAAGAGCTGCAAGTGCCGATGCGCCGCCCTTTAACCCCTCTCAGACATCCGCAAATTCAGGCACAAGCAGGCGAATAGAGTCCAATGGCCAGCAGATGGTCTTGAATTCCGACTCCGACGATGACTCGCTCCCCGACCTGGACTTTGGTATACCCGTGACAAAAGTCAAGGCCTTGACTACCATGACCACGACACGTTCAAAACGCACATCCGAAGATCAAGTAGATGGATTACGCAAGCCCGTTAAGAAGGCGAAAGGCGACAGGATCAACTTCAGCGCACTGGTACAAACAGCCCAGAAGAACCGGGAAACAGAGCGACAGATCCTGGAACACAAGACTGCTCTCGAGACACCTCTGGAGATACCTGTGAATGCATCCATCACAATAAACGAAGAGACGCTTGGCCAAGTCGTAGATGACGATGATGATCCGGACAAGGCGCACCGCCTCTTCCAGGCTATGCAGAGAACGAACGCTACGCAGCTAGAAAGCACTTTCCATTTTTTCAAAGACAACTCAGACTCGAACTCGATACCAATGCGGGCCGCATTTCCCATAAGAAGCTTACCCAACCATCGATGGGTATCGAACTTTGAAGGTAGAGCTTCTATACTGTTACGTCGCGTCAGTCATTAACATGTTCAAGACTCGTACGCCAGGGATCAAGCTTTCATGACCGGCTTCGCTCAACAGATATTTCACCTACAAAAGCTACCTCCAGAGCTAGCTTCTTGGATGATTGATCAGAGTTAGTAATACACAAACGGCACACTTGCACCTGCTAAGATTTGTAGTTTCCTCGAGTCGGAATGAGGCGCTCAATTACAGGTATATCGAAATCCTGGAGGTAAGGTCCCATATATTCTCAACTCATGGCAACATTTGACCCTTTACAGTCTGAAAAACACAATAAGCATCTCTACACGCTTCTTGACCGTACAAGACTAGAAACATTGTTTAGGGAGATAGGCGCTGATATGGCACAACTCGAAGCATCAACTGAACTTACGCCGGTCTTTGTACCGCGATCCGAAACCAGAGTCTCGCTTCCTCTGCCTTTGATCTCTATCACCAAGCTACTTGAGCGAGCAGCACCATGGTAGGCAGACTATGTATGAGTAAAGGGCTTTACTGATTCTTTACAGCTTGCAATCGGAAACTCGAAGTCGTGCGCTATACATACTCAGCCACGTGTGTCTTGATGATAGAGTAATGGCAGATGCTGCCATTCTGCACACCATACAGGACGCTATGGGAGCTATTATATGCAGCTTTGCTAATAACCACAAGCTGGCCTCCGCTGTAGGGCGCCCTTCACTACAACACAACATTCACACTCTAATATCTACACAGCTCAGCGATGTCGTCTCTCAACTACTTGCAAAAGTGACGCATCCTTTGCTGCAAAGAAACTTGATTCGTTCTTTTCCAACGACATCGCCGTTGACAGCATATTTGCAACGTCATCTGGCCCTCGCATTTTTAGTTTACCCGACGACAGTCGACATGCCACTTTCGGACCCGAAGGTTTCCGACATCATCTACAAGCATATGAAGAACTCGCCAAGTTTCCAAGTAAACATGAACACGAACTACAGTCATCTTGCTGCACGTTTGGCTCTTCTTGACATCGCTATTGGGCCCGGTTTATTGGACGTTCCTTACCAACCCCTATCAAGTCCAACGACTTCAGAAGCAGGCTCTTCTCCAGTCAGCGCTCCAGTACCTGCGTCATCTGAGGTGAGAGACTTCAACAACCAGGTGGATACACTAGCTCGAGAATTTCAGCTACTTGGGAATTCTATTGTCGAAGCTGGCGCTGTAGTGGATTTGACCATCATGGACACGAAGGATTCTATAGAGAGACTACGCGCACGACTTGAGCACGCCGTACGGATAGGCGGAAAGAAGGCTCATAACGTGTTTGGGAATGATGACGAGGATACACAGCTCAAAGTCAACAAGTTCTTCACGAAAAGAATGCAGAACTGCAACCCAGCACCATTACGTGGCATCTTCGATGGAGAGGACGACGCGTCGTCAGACGTCGCGGATTCCACAAAGACTTGACAAAGGCTTTGCCGATACTACCGAGTTGTATGCAGGCCATACCATAGTACTAGCCTTTGCGGGCATTCAACACTATCACAACCATATCCTCCCTCTACTTGCTTTCGTGAAAGGTTTCAAGCAACTTGTCGCACCCCGCGCAACCTCATCTCCTCGTGACCCCTGAAACCTGCATCAACGTTGGCACAGCACTTGGCATACCATCCCGCTACATCCTTCAGGGGGGATCTACAGGAGAACTCAAACTCACGCTCCGCTCTACCGCGTCGCCTCGCAAGAAATATCAGACCAAGTTCAATTTCACGCGCTGCAATCTGCAATCCTTCGAAAACTAGCGGCTAGCGTCAAGGGCCTAGAAGAGAGAGAAAACTATGCAGCTAGCTCTTTTCGATCCAGCTGATGTCCGCAGAAGCTCGGTCGCGACCCAGAAACGAGTTCATCTCCTCCTGTCACATTGCATTACGGGGCGTCGGAGAGCGAGCGAGCCAGTCAAGGCGATGAGGCGGCTTACTCACATAGCTACTGTACGTGCGAACGTGCTCAAGAACGAAATGACGAAGCAAGTGACTGGGCCAGAGAGTGCCGTGAATACCACGTGTAGAGATGCGATACAGCGATAGATTGCTAGGTGGGCTTGCGGCACGGGTACGCTTGCAATGACGGCTGCAGGTGGGAAATGTCTGACAAGCATAAGAGCTGTGGCGCACGCGAATTGCTGACTCGCTATCTGAGGCGGTGTGATGGAGACGCGAATCAGCGTTATTCGGGGGCCACCTACAAAGTGAAAATCGCCTCGGTTCGGATTTCGCGCCAGAATGCCGGGCTCGTGAAGCCACAAACAACGTTTCGGAGCGTCGGACATTGAGTAATTTATATGCGTAGGCTGAGGGGTGTTCGTTGCGTGAGTTAGATCTCATCATGGGTGAATACCGCGATATGCGCGCCTAGTCCAGTGAAGACACATCGCATCATCTGCTAGCCCTACAATAAATAAATACCGCGCGCGCGACATCCCTCCCACATTCTGTCAATGAATGTACCGGTGGGTAAACCACCCTAGGCCTAGCCAGCTTACTTGCCGTCCGCAGGTGCTTGCTACCATGTCTCTTGCATGCCAGTGCGTTCGGGTTCCTTGGTATTGGGTATCAGCCCTGGAGGCTGCCGTTGTATTTCGGATAGCAGTTTCCGAGTTTGAACTAGGTTGCCGTTTGCCGATGAACGGTTTGGCGGCATGCGGGATGGTCCTTGTTAAAAGTAAAGTGGGAAGTGGAAAAAGAGGTTTAGCGTTGTTGCCGGTGAGGGAACGGCGAAAAGTGGAATGGTGGTGCAAAGTGACAGGTGTAGTGAGGCTTGGCTAGTTTGGTGTTTGGTTTTGAGCTGGTTTGAGATGAGGCTGATGGGGCGATGGTCAGTCGTTGGAGAGAGCCGTTTCTGGGATGCTGGGGCCATGAGTGCAATCATGTCCAAGTCATCCGTTTACGATACACTGTCCATGTGAAGTCTATAATTCATGTACACTCGCCATGCGAGAACAGTCGTGAAACTATATTAACGGAGTCGTATCCAGATCTATATACATGAGAACGCTAAATGCAAAAACAATAAGATACCGAATCAAAGACCTAGAAAGCTTGCCGTATGGAGCATCAGCACTGCTGGGACCTCCGTCATTACTTCCACATCACCAGCTGTAGACTATGGGGGGGAAAGAAAGAGTCGTTCGATTGACATGTGTGTTCGTTGACTTGGCTTGGCCGGCTCTTCCAAAACCCTCTTCTTTCTGTTTTAGATTCTTCAATCGTCTATAGCCCACCCAGTCCGTTCTTCTCGTCAATGTGCCTGTAGCGTTCCTGCTCCATGCGATACTTGAGGACCATGGCGACACAAAGCACAAGGATCATATCGATACCGACGATACCGAAGGCGGCAGTGAACACTCGATCCAGATATGTATTGGCGAAAGAGGAGAATTTACCAATGCATCCGCCCTTCTGAGCGGCGACTAGGGTGTTTTGGCATGTGCTATCCTGCACGAACGGAGGGGTGGTTGAGTTGACGTAACCGCAGCAGTCGAACTGTTACCTGTCAGCTTCTTTCTGTAGATCATGATGTATTCTTGCAGGGCTGCTAAGCGTCCCCACAAGATTGTGTACGGATGGACGCTTCTAGTGCTGATGCTGATCATCGAGGCAACTCACCTTCTGTTGCAGAAGACTTTGAATAAGCGGCGTCTCGCGTCCCCAAAGGACGCTGAGGTTCGTGCGGGTTTGTAGTGTCTCTACCCAGATAGCGATACCAAGACCAAGTGTGAAGGTCGCGCAGATGACTACCAACCAGCCCTGAGTACGGAGCCAACCTCGATTCGTTGGTAGAAAAAGGGCCGGGAGAGACAATAAGAATGTGACAAAGACGAAGATTGCATTGACTACGCCAGCTGGATAATTTGTTAGTTGATGTTTGCCAAAACCGCATGTTCCAGTGCGATGCGTGGGACAATGCGCCGCCACAGTAGTGCCAGGATATCGATTCCCCCAGCATTACTACCATGGCCCATTCATAAATGTCGTACCTGTCAAGGGACACTGGCCGAGCAGCAGGTTCTGTGTGACGTTGTCCACGGTCGGAGTGGCGCGCATCGATTGCTCAGATATGAGGGAGAAGCCCAGCAACAGTCCTCCGCATCCGGCAAAGAGTAGGTCCATGCCCACAAAGGCCATCATCAACTTGGTCGGCATGTTGGCGGTACTGCGACTTGCGGCTTGACGGAAGAGACTGAAGTGAAATCAAAAAGAAGGATTGAAGCAAAGAATGTAAGTCGAGCGCAGCGGAGCCGTCCGGCGTACTCTGGTGAACTGCGTCGAGCAAGGAGAATTATTAGATAGAAATGAAGAGAAAGTAGCAAGACCAGCGCTCGCGCGGAAAATGCATGGCATTCGGGGACACGGGGACTATGAGCATTAAGAAGCACTGCGAGGGCGCGTCGCAGTTGGAGCACGGCGATGCGTGGGTGGTTTCAGTAGTGTTGGAGCATTGCGGGTGGGCCAATCACAGACGGGAACAGGCATGATGGTTCGATGTTTTGGCGCTGCGACGTCGGTGAGCCGCAGAGGTGGAGTGGGAACAAGCACAATGTTAGAAGAAGTACGACGAAGTTTCGATGGCAGGCTACATGGAACCAGATGGTGGAGCCGCGGCATTATGGTTGTCACGAGGCGCGATGGTGTTGAGAATCGAGCTGCTGCCTCAGGGCCGGCGCCACCAACAGTGCAGGCAGGCAGGATGAGGGAGCAGGCTAGACCGTCGCTGCAAGCGAAGCGAGATCAAACGGGGAAGGTGCGTAAGGGTGGTACTTGCTTGGTCGTGCCTAGGTGCAGCCGCGGCTTCCACGACACCCACGACGACCCACTCCTATCATGAACAGGGCAAACAGCGGTACAGTCGACGCCTGCGTCCAGGGCAAAGAATACGATGGCAAGGACGGTGCGAACCACTCGGTACGACGAGTCTGGCCTGCAGCTTAGTCGTTCCTCGACTGCCCCCAAGCATCTCGTACCGTGGCCTGTAAGCCCGGAGAGTGGGCAACCGACCTTCACCAGTTGACCGTCAATCTGACTTGAGCGGGACTAGCGCAGTCTTTCCACCAATCAACATGATACAAAACACCGGGGTCCTGCTCAGCTGCCTCTAGCGCAGCTCTCGGCCTGAGATGGACGGCGCACTTTTCATGTGGAAAGGCCGCTGCTGTTCATCTCCAAAAGCGACCTGACAGGCCAAAGGTCTAGTGGGAAGGGGTCAAAGTCAGTATCAGCACAAAAGCCATGCTGCGCTGCAGATTGTGCCTTCATGCGCGGCGCGACACCTCAGTCCAGGGCCTCCGTCCAGGGCAATTATTGTCGATCTGCGACTCAGAGCTGTGACCAGGGTCGCGCTCAAGCGCATCCGCCCCCAGTTGTGTGGATAGTTGAGGGCCTGCCCGCACCAAAGCAGCCAAAGCAGCCGTCGAGAGAAATACTTGACCACTCCCGCCGTTTCATTCCCAATACCGTTCGTCCCTTTCCTTCCTCAGACAGCTCTCGGGCTATAACACACCTGCACCACTCCGTCTGTCCCTGCGTGCCCGCCAAGCTCCACAAGCTCAGGGTTCGGGAAACCACTCGACCTGTCTTTTTGCTACCCACCCAACGGCGCGCGAAAACAAAGCACGCCGCACCTGATCTCGCTGTGCGTTTGGCCAGGTACGTACCCTTTTCGCTCTCCCAGCCCGCCCTCTGTCGCGAGGTCACGCTCTCCGGCACCAAGCCCTTCCACAAGCACCCCCCAGCCACTGGCGCAGCACGGGCCCCCCGAGTAATTTAGTGCCTTCCACCGAGCACAGTGCGACCAAGCGTTTCCTCCCCCGCGCACCTTTTCCTTGCATTCCTGCTGCGCCATCACAAAGGGACCAGCCCCGATCTTTTAACAGGCCGCGCTTCCTTTTCCGTATGAGGTCGTCCTAAGAGTCTAACCCAACTCAAGCCGTCTGCAGTTCCTTCTGTAACATTTTGCGCGTCTGCCCAAACCACGCAAGAACGCCTGCCAACTCCCCACACTCGGCCCAACACAGCTTAGGGCCCTCGTCCCCCAAACACTGCGGGTAACCAATCTTTGTCGCGACTCACCACCATGGCCAGCGAAATCACCGAGCACGACCAGAACGCGTCGCCGTCTGTCCACGACGACGGCAATGGCACCATGGGCATGGAGAACCGCGGCGTCAAGCGTGCGCGCGCTGCTGCCGACGACGACGACGACGATGATGACAAGCCCGGCCGCGAGCGAAGAAAGATTGAGATCAAGTTCATCCAAGACAAGTCGCGTCGGCACATCACCTTCTCCAAGCGCAAGGCTGGCATCATGAAGAAGGTACGTTGGTGCTCGTTGAGCGCGCATCGTGGTGCATTTGCTCCCGCGTCGCATGAAACCGTTGCCTGCACCGAGCGCTCCGCTAACCATGGCACTCCCAGGCCTACGAATTGTCTGTCTTGACAGGCACCCAAGTGCTGCTGCTCGTCGTCTCCGAGACTGGTCTTGTCTACACCTTTACCACACCCAAGCTGCAACCGCTAGTCACCAAGCCAGAGGGCAAGAACCTCATCCAGGTATGCTGCAGCCACCGCCCAAGCTGTCGCATCGCGTTACTAACACCCCGCAGGCCTGTCTCAACGCCCCCGAGCCATCAAGCGGCGACGCAAATGGCGTCGACAACGACACTGTCGAATCGCCAGAGGACAACCACGCCCAAGTACCGCCTGGCCAGCCACGCGGCATGCCGCCTAACAACCAAGCCATGCCCCAAGCCTACATGACGCCCGAGGCTGCCCTGCACTACCAGAGCTACCTCCAACAACAGCAGCAGCAGCAGTCAAACCAGTATCCCATGGCGCAGCAAGGCATGCCCCGCCATCCTGGTGGCCACTACCCCCAGGACCAGAAGCTGGGTTAAACCTAATACACACATACTCTACCCACGCGGTAGCAGGTCACTACTCGGAAGGCGCATTAGTAACTGGATATGGATACCCACATAATGGCAAAAGTAATCACGGTGTCGCTCAACAAGCAATACGCAGGTGCATGGTATGCGATTTCGCATGCGACAGTGTAGTGAGAGTGAGAAGATATGATGTGGGCACGCAATGTCGGGGGGATGCAGTTGCACTTCCGAACGACTGTACGTCTTACGTGGATATTGGCGCAGTCTGTGGTTTCTTTATTCTTGTCATTTGCTCTCAATCAACATATTCAGCATCTCCTGTCACATTTACCAGGTGCTGTTTAGACCAGATCTATACCACTGCCCATAGTCTCGGTCGAATTCAGTGCGTTAATTCACTCAAAGCTAGCCTCGTGGGCCGCTATCCGTGAGAGCTTAGTCGGGTCTGGGCATTGCTTCCTATTTCGTCGCCCGAACTTGCCTTTCTGGGAGAATAAGCTTGCCACCACAACTCAAAATCATGAAGTGTCCGCGGACCTGTCTTGGACGTGACTTGAACAGGTAGCTTGCGACATGCCTTCCTCATAGTCATCGCGGCATTTGGCTCAGCAAAGCAGGAGACATCCACCACACACATACACAAAGCTTGACCACTCCAAAATGTCCTATTGCCTCTCTCTACTGGACAGCAACATTTGTTTCGCAGGAAAAAGAAAGGTGCAACGTTACCCATAGGCTCGTGCGCTACCCCGATGACGGCTCGATAACGGCTGAAAGCAAGGCTATTGTTGTCTGAACTAGAGACTCGAGCATGCCCTCGAGGAAATGTCACATCCGTAATTGTACGACCGCACTTAGCTTGTGCATCCTCTAGATTGCACTGTTGCAGGTAAGACCACGCGCACTTTTCGACTCGATGTACTGGGAAGCTTTCCAGAGCCAATGCAACACTGGTACCGTCCCCTTTCGACGTTGCTTTGATTACTTGCGATGAAGACTACCTGAGTGACGATCGCAGCATTATCCTTCCATCAAGCGTGTCACTGTGTGACTGCGGCATTTGGCTAATATGTTACACAAGAAGGTACGCGTGTGGTACATAGGCAGTCGATCGACGCGACGGGTTGCGCCACCAACCACTTTGGAAGCATCTCGAAGGCTGGGATACCTAGAACGAGATTGTTGAAGAGATGCAAAGAGCGCCACAGTCAAGCGTATGGGGCTGTGTAAGTGTGAAGACGTTCTCTGTATCATTGGCGGTAACTGCGGCATTCTGATCTGATCCCGTTACCTCTTCTTACTCGATATCGTCGTGTTTAAAACAAATTCTAGATGTGGGAGCGAGGTGTAAGCTTATACAAGAGAGGACCAGTTTTGGTGCTGACAGCTGTCGTCATAGGGCTGATCTCCTCTTGCCAAACAACACAAGGTTACAACTACGGACCGCGCCGCAGAAATTCGCCGAAAGATACATACGGCTACTTGCATTTTGCGCCGATAGACACAGCATCAATGTAGTGTGACTAAAAGCTTCACGCTTTGCACAACCTCTTCTGCGCGTTGCCTCGATACCAAGCGCTGCTCATTACTGTTAGTCCTGATGTTGTCTGTGTAGCGTTTATATAGGATCGTCAAGCTGTCTATTCTCTTGCCTCGGCATTATTCCCTAGTAGCAACCCATTTGACAAGATTTCGGGAGTTGATTGCTTCTGTGCTACCCTACGCGTCATCCTGCCTCTCGGGTGCGGATGTCTACCCGCAGCAGGCCTCTTTACTTGTTCGAGCGATCCCCGCACCTTAGCATGCTAATGCCGGCTGTTAATAATCGCGCGTATAGACACTCTTCCGCAATGAAGACGTAACTTTTACATTCATACCTTCTATCTACCATACCATGGCCTTCGACCTTGGTCAAGATAGCGATTGCTATAGACTGTTTTGGAACTTCCTACCAACACATTGGAAGCTCAATCTCGCAACCTGATAGATAATGATTGCAGTCTCTTCTAGTACAAGGCTGCCAGCCGTCGCGAAAACAATAGAGAACGTGGCTTTGACGGCTATACCTACCTACCTTTGTTGCTCTAGGCTTGACATCTCCGCCGATATCTCGTCGTGCTTTCAGATTGCTGTTCAGACACATAGAGCTGGACCACCCGCAAACATTGATCAGAATATATAATGCAAAGCTTCACATCCGCGACTCAAACACATGCGAGTGATGATACGCGATTCCACCACCGAGCACAACTAAGCCAAGCCGGACGTGTTCCCCGCATAGCGACTCGAACAACTCGTGCATATGAGCCCAAGCTTTTCAGGTATAGAAATCCTGACTTCGGTGCTACTCCCGGCCTTAAACCACGGACTATCTGAGCGTCGCTATACCTTTTTTACGATTGCTTTTATTGCTTCGCTGTCTCAATTCGCTATCTCTTATCTAGCGTTGCTTTCTCCCCTGCTCATCACCCCACGTCTGACGCCCAGGCGTAGCCCGCCCCCAGACCGCGACATTCATCATGAGAAGCATATAAGCTTTATAGTTACTGTGTTGTCGACTTGGCGCGATGCGATAAGCCTTTTTGCCAAGTACTTGCTTCAACAGCGTGGCTTCTTGCTCCGACTATATTATCCGTCGGTCACTCGGGCGTTGCTTTCAAGTCAACTGCACCACCAAAGAAATCCAGAAATCATGGAGTCAAAGATAGAAAAACATCCCACTCCACACATCGCTCACGATGTAGAGACACAAGGCAAGTCCTCCATTGATGCAGACGCTCTCAAGCTAGCAGAGATGGGCTACACTCAAGACATGGCGAGAAAGTACACCGTCTGGTCCGTTTTGGGCGTCGGGTTTTCAATCACAAACTCCTGGTTTGGTATATCAGCCGCTCTGATAACTGGCATCAATTCTGGAGGCCCGCTGCTCGTCATATACGGCATTATGCTCATAGCTCTCATCTCGACCTGCGTGGGTATCAGTCTCAGCGAGCTGGCAAGTGCGATGCCGAATGCGGGTGGACAGTACTTCTGGGCTGGTGAACTTGC